CACGCACGCACGCACGCACGCACACATGCACACACACGCGCACACACACACACACACACACACACACACACATACACACACGCACGCGCGCATTCTGTCATTAATTTATTTTTGGACCTCAATTTCGTATCAGATGCTTTTACCCTGCCTGGAAGCATCACGGGGGAAACTAAACATAGACGCTCAGAATTACATTCATGACTGCAGGACACGTCACTTTTTATAGTTTACTTATTTGAGGATGAGTTGAAATCTGTATTTTACTTTAACCAACAACCTCATAAACAAGATACAGTCCCGATATTTCTTTATCCGAAGGCAAGATAGCAGACTATGCTTCTCCTTCTCCGAAACTTGGAGGAGGGGGAGGGTGCATTAACAAAACACTGTATAGAATATTCTGTAAAGTTTACTCTCTGCTCCACCATTTAAATCCTCCTTGTAGGGACAGTCTCTTCCATTTTAGCTTAATTGTAACATTCAACAACCGACTGTTATTTCTGGGTTTTTTTTAAAACACTTCTTTCAAGATTCTTTGATACTTTTCTTTCACCTTATATTTGGGGATCTGTTTGCTCAGAGAAGTGCACCCAGCATTGAAAGGCCCTGATGTATGTCTGGCCATTGGAACAATAAAGGGCAAAGGAAACAAGTGACAAATGGGAGTTTCATATCATCTTTCTCTGTCTTGATTGCAAGGTGATTGATAGCACAAGCTGACTATACCATCCGGAAAATTGCGGTCTTGAGATCATTAATGGTAATTAATTGAAACCTTCCGACAGAACGTCCCAATGTTTCAACAATGAACGTATTTAAAATAAGAAGAATATAAGAAGATATAACATCTTTTAATAAAACAAGCAATCGTTGTTATCTGGCCAACAGATCGGCCTTGCAAAAGTCATTAACTCGAGTACATTAAATTATCCATTTTTATTGCGATCAAATGGTACTCTTGGCATTAAACTTTCTGTAAACGCCGTAACTTCAATTCAAACTGTATGACCCCCCACCCCTTTTCCATTGTAGGAGAGCCAATCAGAGAGAGAGAGAGAGAGAGAGAGAGAGAGAGAGAGAGAGAGAGAGAGAGAGAGAGAGGAGAAAGGCAAGATAAGTACGAACACTTACAATAAAGACACACACATAAATGTACATTCAAATCCACAGAAAATTTATGATCCCACACATACCAATAAACATACAAAAGATTGGGGGAAAAAAAGAAAGAAATCAATGCTCCATTTTGTCATTATTCCCCAACCTTACCACCACATAACCCTACTACTCTAAATACACAGTCTTTAAAAGCAGCCAAATGCTCCCCATCAACTGCTTATATTTCTATCCATCAATATCACTGCCACATACTTCTTTGACAAAACAAAATGTCACCCATTAAAAACACAGTAAAATGTGGCTGCCTGAAGACAAGGGGCTCTATGAAGTAAGAAAAGTGGTTACATACATAAAAATCAGTTGCACTGCAGGTTGAAGAACCAGCAACCGACTACACATAAGATCTAGCAAATTTATTAGTTTTAGTAGAGGTTTTACGGCGCTCGCAACTGCATAAGGTCATATGAGCGCCAGAAGATTAGAGTGGTTACAAGAGAGTAACAAACATAAAAAAGAAGAAGGGGAGATAAGGACGATAGATGTTTGATAGGAAAGAAGGAGCCAACCACACCAGAGCACCCGCCAACCACCCACGATCTAGCAGGGGAACGCGAAGAAGAAGAAAAGAAACAGAAGGCTCGGTCCTTGAGGTGCTTTCAAGAAACCAGTCATCATCATCATCCGGTGCCAGATCTGCGACAGACATCGGCGATCATGGTTTTGCATTCATTACTTTGCTCGGATGCCCTCAAAAAAGCTACGTTTCCCTGATCTTTTCCTGTTACCCATTTGTTTAGGTTCCCTAAATAAAGAAACCAGTAAACTCTCAAAACAGACACACTCTGACTACTCTGAGTGACTAGAAGGAACTGACTCACCAAACAGTCGGCGCTGCAACCCATGTCCACAGACACAATGATGAGCTTGGAGAGAGCCGGGTCCAGAGGAAATTCCACCATGTTGCGGCCCAGGGCGGTCAGCGCGCCCGTGTTGTCCAGGGCACCGAGGATCCACAGCTGGTACATCGAGTTCAGGATGTTGTCCTGAGGGAGACGAGAAAAGGGACAAATTTTAGTTAGTTTTAGTAGAGGTTTTACGGTGCTCACAACTGCATAAGGTCATATGAGCGCCGAGGGGTGGAAGTCAACAGAGAAACCTTACAGGGAATCAGACTTACTCTGCTCACCTTTTTAGCTTTTACAGCACAAAGTCTGCTTCGATTATCAAGGCACCCCGGAAATAGTGGGCCACAAGAGTGACAAACATACAAAAAAAGTAGAGGAAAATGACAATAGTAAGGATTAGGAAAGAAAAAGCAACAGTTCCCTGTTGTAGATCAGGCACAGTTATGAGCGTAACATCCATGAATCAGCCCATTTACAATTCTACTGTGCATGAACGAGAAATGTCCCCCCTTTGGGAATGGCCTAAAGACAGACAAATTTGAGGAGCAAGACAACAGAAGCAAAACCAGGATAGAACCCACAGAGTAAAAATTTTGATAGAACCAGTCGTCATGATAGTCATCATCATTATTGTAAGTACAATAAGAAAAATAAAAGTTGATGGAGACGGAGTTTTTCTGAATTTAAGCTTTATGACACTATAAAATATGTTCAACATTTCGCCCTTTTGGGCTTCTTCAAGAACGCTTATCATCATCATCATCATCATTATAATCGCCACTATTGTCATGTGCCAGATTCAAAACAGACATCACTGATCATGGTTTGCTACTCTGTTTGGATGCTCTCAAAAAAACCTATAATATTATCCTTGTCCTGCCCTGTCACCCATCAGTTCAAGTTCTCTCGGTAAATTACTTTTAGTCTAATTGTGCCTCTTTTGCCTTCTATTTTTTTCCAATGCGAGTAAAGTCTTCTTGGCCTTTATGTCTATTCAAGTGGCCCAGAAACTGCATTCATCTCTTCCTAATTGTTTTTTAACTTTATTAGTGATCAACTCACTCGGGCTTCTTTCAACACAAAGTCATCCGACTTCTTTTCCTTCCATGAATTCTAAACAGTCTACTGGGAAACATATCTCTTTCTTCAAGTTTATTTTAAGTATCCGTGGTAATTAACCAGAATTATTCATAGTCTCTCTTTCTCTCTCCCACCCTCCCTCCCTCCTTCTCTCTCTCTCTCTCTCACTCTCTCTCTTTCTCTCTCCCTCCCTCCCTCTCTCTCTCTCCAAACACACACACACACACACACACACACACACACACACACACACACACACAAAACGTATAAAAGTACAAGACAGAAAACAAACTCACCTCCGGAGGAGGGTCCATGAAGTGAAACAGTAGAAGATCCTGGACACCTAATGACTTTAGCAGTAACACAACGTGTGCCAAGTTGGTCCGCTGAATTTCTGGAACTGTGGTTGTGAGAAGTTCATCTTTGTACTGACGTTGTGTGTACAGGCGATAAGCTTGACTGAAAAATAGGTAGAATATGTCTTAATATCAACATGATCATGTGTTACAACATGCATTTTTATGCCAATGGACTGAAAGTCTTAGTAGAGGTTTTACGGCACTCGCAACTGCATGAGGTCATATGAGCGCCAGAAGATTTGAGGTGTTACAAGAGAGAAACAAACATAAAAAAGAAGGAGGGGAGATAAAGACGATAGATGTTTCATAGGAAAGAAAGACTGAAAGTTTGATGTCAAAATCCAATTTCTGGACACAGAAACAATAAACGTAAAAAGGTATACTTTGATAGCAACACTGGCAAACTAAAAATATGCCACCACGCAGTTTTTTAAAAACCCAATATCTTTTGCTTTCATCACTCCTCTTCTTCTCCACCACAACATTCAAATACACACGCACATCCACATCAACTAACTCCTCCAAATCCAAACAATACAACACTAACACAAAAAACTACCTCTCCCCCCCCCCTCCCTTTACTCCCCAACACACACACATACATGTACACAAACACACACACACACACACACATACACACACACACACACACCCACACACACATACATGTACACAAACACACACACACACACACATACACACACATTACTACAATGCATGTTTGTGTGTGGGTGTGACGCACCTACATACACACACTCACACACCGAAAGACACACACACGTACACACACACACACACACAAAAGCTAAACCCTTTCACTCCTACAGAACAGAACAGAATCTCTTACCCTGGTCCCGTTCTGCCAGCACGACCAGACCTCTGATTTGCATTTGCCTGAAAAAATCAAAACTCATTTTAAAACAAAAGAAAAGTAAAATCAAAAGAAAGGTAACAAAGTTTCCATCAATGTTATTCAACATTTCGAACCAACTAAAAAAGCTCATATTGCTCAAAATGCAAACAACTAAATACACAAACAAAAGAATAAAAGAGGAGCAACACACTGTACCAAAAAGCAGTAATGGGACAGCAAGCCAATGGGGAAACAGGACTGGATCAAACCTCATGTAAACTTTCATCCACAATTTTCCAGTGGAGATGGATAAAAATTCTCTAATAGATAAGCAGATTGTTTATTGCCCATTGAAAAATTCTCCCAATCCCGGTCGGTTCATCAAAAAGTGCCCTTGGTGAACCACATTTAGAGTTCAACTTGTGAATTTTAAACTTTCAAATTAATCGAAAAACAAACACAATTACAGGCGCTCATATGGCGTAATGCAGTTGCGAGTGCCGTAAAACCTCTCAGTAAAACCTCTACTAAAATTTTTAAAAACCACAATTAATTCCTGACTGAACATAAGATGGAGTGGTGAGCATCAGTCACAATTCCCTCAATACATCTCTACCGTAAGCATTTCAACTCCAAAGACCTATTCAACTCAACATACACATTTTTAGAGAGAAAGAAAAACACATTATGTACCTGACTAATTGGAAAGATCTGCAGGGCGTCCATACCAATCTTCGGGTTGTAAACCTTTAGTTTGCAATAGCCAGAGTCTATCACAAACATGATCCCATCAACTGAAATACGAGAAAAGATGTTAGAACATTTCCATACATGCATTAAAAGTGCTCTAAATTCGCGTTGTTGCATCTATTGTTCTTGAGGAACCTGGACGTTTGTTTCTGGCTTCAGGGCTACTGAAAAATTGTTCTCATTTACAGCTTACCAAAAAAAATACCCCAATGAGAAGTTGCAAAAAGTTCAATACAGTGTTACATAGGCTAAAACAGCACCTGGACATGGATGGCTGGTGCCTCTATCAATAAATCATTGATGGTCTGGACACTGTTGCATAGACACCTTACTATCTAGTCAGGGAAACATACTCAAAAAAGGGAGCACCAAATGTGTAATCTACGAACATTCATCTAATTTCCCACCAGCAAAATAAATACCCAATCTTCACTGAATTTTACTTAATAACTTAATCTACAAAATTCAAAGAGCCATTAGAAACACAACAGCTCATATTTTGTTCATGGCACTTGAGTGAAATACAATGAGATATGTTCTTGTGATGTTGTTTTTCACTCTAGAGAATAGACTGAATTCAACAACACACCTGTGAGTGATGTTTCGGCAATGTTGGTGGCCACAACGCACTTGCGGATGCCATCGGGAGCCTTCTGGAAGATCTTGGCTTGGAGGTCAGAGGGCAGCTGAGAGTAGATGGGCAAAATAGCCAAAGGAGGAGCCTCATCCAGCTCTCCCAGCCGCTCTGATCAAAACACAGACAAATTATACAAATGAACAAGCGTTAAGAGCAGACACACTTGCCAAACGGGGATCTAGACAGGAACAACCCAACACTTCAACTTCATACAACACAGCAAAACAAATCATCAAAAGCAACAACAAACAAGATTGGATGAACAGATGGGCCCTGGGAAAGACAGGCAGAGCAGTTTTCATACATATGACCACAACAAAAAGGAATGACAATATCAACCGCCTTCAGAGAAAGAAACAGACCACGATCTTCCGCCTACGAACAGAACATATACAGCTCAACTTCCACCTGAACAGAATAAACACGGAACTTCCCCCAATGTGTCCCTTGTGTGACTATACATATGAGACTGTGGATCATCACCTGTTCCACTGCACAGCCCTAAATGACATCAGAGCTACCCTTCTTCCTCCGAGACCTAACATAGACAACACACTCTATGGAACATTACAGCAACTGCAGCAAACCTGCACTTATCACTACATGGCATTGGACAGAAGGGCGAGAGCCCAGCTGTTGCTGGATCGATAACAACAACAACAAAATCAAGCGTTAAAAACAGGTTGAAGGAAAGGTCAAGCACAGTTCTAGCAAAAACCAAGATTTCAGTGTAAATTGTTTTAGATGACACTGAACTCCAGAGAAACACAAGACACAAGTCAGTTGATCTCAACGGCAGGGAACTTGGTATTAAGCCACAAAATAAAGCAGAGAGAATAATTCAGACATAACTCAAACTTGAAGCAAATATTTCTGTGGCAGATTAAGCTAGTAGCCAAACCAACCACAACAGCAGCACAAGCATTTTTTTAAAAATTAACTCTTTAACGTCGTAACGGCCACATATGTCCGACCAGAAAACAGACTAAAAGCAATGCTACGGCATATTTCAAAGCTTTATACAATACATAATGTTGTTGCCTGCCTATCTATGTTTTAGGTCATGAAAACAGAATTGAAAAAAAATTGGCATGAATAACCAGGTAAAGCATCTATTTTTTTATTAAGTACCCCAAAACAGCGCGTCCTCAGTGCGTTAAAAAAAAGAACAGAGAAATCGTAATCCACATAAAACATTATTAAAAATTCACAAGAAGTGGAGTGTTGGCCAAATTTATATAAGACACACAAAAAATTAAATAATAAAACCCATGCCCCTGCAATCTCATCAATAATCTATAGTCATCAAGATTATAACCAGATAGTTACCTGTCACCAGCTCACAAGTCACCTCGATATCTTCTTGACCAGGCATGAAGATCAGAAGATCACCTGAAATGAAGACGAGTGGATGAAATACATCATTCCACAAGAGGAAATGTGTAGATCCAACACTTACTATGGAAAAAATACAGCTTGAAGAAACTTTTAACTTGTGTTTATTCCGTCTCATGAAAACCATTAGCCTGTCAAAAAAGCACTTCATAATATCATGCATAAAGAAAAAAAAATATGAATACATTTGATATTTTCAAAACACAAACAGAGAATAGTAATTCTATGAAGTGACTACACATCTGAATACAAGACTGGCCATTTGAGGTAGACAGTACAGATAAAAAGGTCACACATTTAAAATCAATAGCACTGTGAGTTTGAAAAACCTGCAGGCCACTCCCCTAAGACCTAGCCAGGGGAAAAACAGGAGTACTAGAATTTTATTCAGATTTAAAGGCACAACGTACTGCAGAAGAAAAAGAAGTAGGTCTCAATCTAGAACATACCAGGCAACCCTCCAAGATGCACTTGCAAAGCCTGTTTCACAGCTGCGTCCACATAGTCTTCTTGTGGGTTTTTGGCATACAACACATCCACAGGGAACGTACGACCAGGAATGGTGAACACAGGAACATTGCCAAAGAAAGTGGCAAACTTGGTGGCATCCATTGTGGCAGACGTCACTATCAGTTTCAGGTCATGGCGTCTTGACACCACCTTAAATGAAATAAATAAATTCATATAAACTTCACATGTTATTATGTGCAACATGTTGCAATATTTCCAAATTGTGCAAGTAATCGTAAAAGACAAAGGTTGAAAATTAGTCAATTTTTTTTCTTCAGTATATCGTAAGGTGTGCTCATACCCTACCTCTTACTCTCTGCAAAAAGAGGGACAAATCAACTTCAAAATAAAAGAGCATAGGCCTTTCAGGGAATGAAGCAAAAGAATTCGTCAGGCCTTAACCAATGTAAAGAAAGAGTAAACTACACCAAACAGCAAAACATTGGTGGGAAAAAATCCACTCAACTTTTGTGAGGCAGCGTGGTGGAATCACGCTCTCGTCAATTTTGGGGCATGTAGAGTTATTGGTGTCATCTTAGAGCTTGTTCACTTGTCTTTATTTCAATGAAAAAAATATCCCTTTATATTGAGTCAAGTCGGGATATTTGCGAATGAAGGAGGTGGGGTCGCCTGTTTTCAGAGGTAAAATTAGTGAGAAAATGGCCGCCAAAGATTGGTTATTTCCTTAGCTTAAGAGTCCGTGGTAACTGAAAATTTACGGGGTTTTTTAGTTTAATAAAAGAGCCTAGGCCTTTCAGGGAATGAAGCAAAAGAATTCGTTAGGCCTTCACCAATGTAAAGAAAGAGTAGCCTGCACCAAACAGCAAAAAACTTGTGGGAAAAAAATCCACTCAACATTTCTGTCCGTGGACTTCTCCACAGGCAGATGTCATGATAAAACTATACCCAGAAATAGAAAAATAAAAAGCTTTTTTATGCATTCTAAAAATGGGGCCATTGGAGTTCTAATGAGCATTTCTTGCCACATGACAACAACAACAACGATACACATTTCAGTTCCCTTACATTTCTGAGCAGACCAAAGAGCACGTCAGTGTTGAGCGATCTCTCGTGGGCCTCGTCCATGATGATAGCGCTGTAGTGGTCCAGATCGGATTCACGCAGAGATTCTCGCAGAAGGATACCGTCCGTCATGTACTTGATCATTGTTTTCTGTAACAAAGAACAAACATGGTATGATAAGCACCCGAGTCAAAGGTGTGAAAATGAGTTTGAAGTAAAGTTTTTTTGTTTGTTTTTTTAGTAGAGGTTTTACGGCACTCGCAACTGCATAAGGTTATATGAGCGCCAGAAGATTAGAGGTGTTACAAGGGAGTAACAAACATAAAAAAGAAGAAGGGGAGATAAAGACGATAGATGTTTGATAGGAAAGAAGGAGCAAACCACACCAGAGCACCCGCCAACCACCCACTGAAGTAAAGTGTTGTACAGACAGATTGCTTTAAATAACAAAATAATGCATACGATTAACACTCAAGAGAGTCAAGGACCGGGCTGAAAATGGAATTCTAATTAATTGAGCGTGGTTGCCGACAGCACAAACGTTTTACATGGTAAAATTTAAAATGTTATTCATCTTAGAGCAAAGATTTCCATGTCCACACCGCATTATTGTTTGCATTTTATACGGGGTGCCCACTACGAACGGGATCGGCCGATCGAGCTGATCGCCCGACTCGATCGCCTAAAAAACAAACGTGTTTGTTTTCAGTTTCAGGCGATCGATTCGGGCGATTGGCCAGATCCAGCCGTAGTGGGCACGCCGTATTACTGAACAATAGGCAATATATTCAACTAAAGCAAAAGAAAAACTTAAAAGGGAAAACTGGACAAAAACTGTACAACACAGGATCACTATTTTTCCCATTCTGTGCCTTTACGCAGGTTTGACTCAGCAGTCTTTTTTTTTTTTTGGTGAGTGTTTTACGGCGCTCGCAACTGCATAAGGTCATATGAGCGCGCGGGACACACCTAATACTTTTAGTTGGTAGGAAATTTTGAATTTTGCCCGGGTGGCGGCCAAAGCCTACTCTATCGATTTTAGACCAAAAAGGGATCTTTAACGTGCGCAACTTGCACACGGGCCCTCTGAGATTTTTTCGTCCTTGTCCGAGAAGGCTAGGTGTAGATCTTTCCTACCAGAAAATCAGGGGTGTGGCAGAAAGACAGCTGTAAGAAGGGGTCAAGGAGTAGCAGTAGAAAGGCTGCAGAAAGAGTCAGGAGCCCAGAGGAGGGGGCAAAGGAGGTGAGGGGGTGGGGGTAGAAAGAGGAGACGAAAGCAGACAACAGAATCTCAGCAGTCTGCATGAACATCCCAGCTCAAGGTCATTGAGGTTAATTCAGTTCTGACAGGGATGAACTCAAGCACTGCATTGTTCATCTATTGGTTTAAAAAACAAGAAAGGGTTAAGAGGATATTTAAAACTGTACTCACCTCAGAAGTGCAGTCCTCAAAACGGATAGCATAGCCGACGTCTTCTCCAAGTTTGACGTCCATCTCCTCCGACACACGCTTGGCCACCGACATGGCCGCAACTCGGCGGGGCTGTGTACACCCAATCATACCCGTCTTGGTATAGCCATCCTCATGCAGGAACTAACACAACAAAAGAAAAGCAAACTGTACATTCACAAAGCAAATCAACAGACAAATGGTACTAATCTACTTTCTCTAAAGCAGCATAATATAAGATAACACAATGGATGAAGCACAATGAGCTTTCAGTCCATAAAGTTCAGACATCTTCATTCTCACTGTCCACTAAATACTCTCCCAAATCATTTCTGCCTGAACCCAGGTCAGCATGCCTATATGACGGATCCTTTAACCTTATATCACTCGTTATACTTATGAGGAAATAATGGTTAGCTGGCATCAGACGGACGCTGAATAAAAAAAAAACAGTGAATGAAATGCTAAGATGACATCTCTGACTATAAATGAATCCATAGATGTAACAGTTTTTCACTGAATTTTGAAAATTCTAACGAATAAAAAGTGGAAAATAAGAGGGTTCATCAGCTGCTGAGACATGCAGACAAATATCTCTGAAAATGAAAGAATGTTATTGACACAAACTTGTGAGTTGCCAACAATAAGTTGTACCACTGTTATGAGGGATTTTTTTTGTGTGTGTATGGGGGAGGGGGGAAGGGGGTGGGGGGCACGTAGCATCATAGGACAGGATAAAGACAACAAAACAGCTTTAAACAGCAAAAATGGCTTACCTGAGTGAGTTGGGTAGTTTTTCCTGATCCTGTCTCACCAACGATAATGATAACGCTGTTGTCTCGGATAATTGTCAGCAGCTGTGGGAAAAGACAGACAACGAGAACTGATCATGTCAGCCACTTAACAGCCAAAGCCCAAGACAGTTCCTTAAGATGAGATCCAAAAATCTGTCAGACACTGTCGCTTTGCTCTAATCATTTTATATTAATTATCGTTACAATTGCTATTTTAGCATGCTTCTACAGTAAACCAAAACAGAAATCTAGCCAGTAACTAAATACATTATAAAAAAATATCCCCCTCCCCCCAAATCATTCCAACCTCCGACTTTGCCCCTCTTTGTTTCCTTTTGGCACAACGTAATATGAGTAGCTTTTTCCCTCTGAGCCATGACATAAAGACAAACATCTCACATCAAATCTGAACACAAACTTAAACACTAAAACTAAAATCTTTAAAAAATCATTTTATTTTGCACAATTACAAGTCTCTGAATGTGACAAAATAATAACTTTAAACAAGTACATAAAAAAATGTTCTGGATAACCCACTGGTGAGGAACAGAAATTTTCATCTGTGGCTACCGTGACCCTCTGCTTCAGCTCCTGAGCGATGTATTACTCCGATTCATATCATCGCCAGAATCACATTCCATATCTCACTGAGGGTAGTTTTCATCATTATCAATATGTAATTCAATAAAAATCTGTAAAATAATCAATAACGTCCTGTGTAACACACACTGTTTTCGGTGCGTTATTTGGTCCCACACCAGATGGGTTGGGAACAGGGTCTCACCTACCGCGGTACCAGTGGCGGGGCATACGAACAATTGTACATGTCACTGGCGTGTCAGTATCTAGGGCTCAAGGGGTTCAACGGTAAATAAATAAAAACTCTTGTGCCAACACAAAATGAGAGAGACAGACAGAAAGGGAGGAAGGGAAAGAGAAAGAGAGAAAGAAAAAGAGATGGGGTAACAGGATTGAACGATCAAGTGGGTGTGCCTGTGCATGTGTGCATGTAATGTATTTCAGAAACTAGAGAAAGCTGACTACAACGAAGGATAATTGAAGATTATCTTTTCTTATTTCAAGATTATCTTTTCTTATTTCATTGACAAAACGAAAACTTATGTTAAAAATATGACCCACCTGATTCCGTACAGCAAATATGGGCAGAAATTGTCTCTGTTGCTGCAGAGACCTCTGTAGAGCAAACTCACTCACTGCCTCCGTCTTCTCCTGCATCAGCTCAGCAAACTTGTGATCTTCTTTATAACTTGACTCATCTCCCTGATCCTGCAGGTATTGACACAGAACATTATGTTCAACAGCCAATGCACCCACCCCCCGACCGCCGCCACACACACACACATGTACACACTTTCCAAAGCAGAATCAACCATTTGAATACAATAACAATGAATCAGGCCTGGATCATTTAGCAAGAATCAACAGTAATGACAAGGGCAAATATTGACTCAAACAGAGAACATAATTCTGTTTCAAGATAGCGAATTAATAAAACGGTCAGTAAAAGCTCACTTGCCAATATTGAAACACAAACATGTGTTATGAAAAAAATATTTGAAGAAAAAAAGTCTGAACAATGAACCATGGCAAAATATTTGACTTCCTTAAAAACAAAGTGTAAACAACTATCAGTCCAAAATTCCCATTGAAATAAGTTTATAAGACACCAAAGCTCTCCAATTGTCCATTAATACATCACTGTTTTTTATGAGAAACCTGAGCATTCAGCTAATGCTAATTGTAATTCCAAGGAATCCTGAAGCTAAACTCTGTTCCATTTTCGTAAAATCATAAATCATGAATGATAAACAGTCTGTCAATTTGGGTAAAAAGCAGACATAGCATGCAGTACATCATCACTGATGTAAGAAAAAATTAGCAACGCCAACTTTTTACACACAGCCTGTACTGTAAAGCAGGTTCTAATGGAGTTCAGCCATTTTCTTTTTGACATAGTATTATTCAGTATGCTATGAATTCTAAAATTCAACACCATAATCGTGACAGGTGTGGAGAGAGAAGCAAAAGACCAACTGAAAGGTGCATACCTCATCCTCCTCTTTTTTCTTGACCCCCATAATGTTGCCGATGTTGGTACCTGCCAACTCCCACTCTTTCTTCTGTGCCTTTTTCCGTTCCTTTTGTTCTCTGTGGGTGCGGACTACAGCACAGCCTTTACGAGCCACAACAGCCATGTCTGATGTTGGGTCCTGTCAAAGGAATACATACACTTGACAATTTTATCTGAGCATCTTCCCTTCATAAAGAATTACATGTACATTTAGAGCAGAATGTGCTAATCACATTATAGGGAAGTAATTTCCATGGGGAAAAATAATTTGCTAGTAAATAATTCACATTCTCCCGTGTGGTTCTCGGGGCCCTGTCCAAGAGACAGGGGAGCAAAGAATAGGACCACTGTATCCGTACCGCGCATGTCGTAGAAGGCGACTAAGGTCGGTGGGGCAAAGGGTTAGCAGCCCTTTCCCGTAAAACAAAAAGCAGCTACAAAAACATCAACAGCAAAAACAACACGACCGCCAGTTCTGGGAGATGGAGGACCTTCATCACCGAGGAGAGGAGAGACAAAAAGCGGGGACATCTTGGAAACAGATAGAAAAGGATGCTCAGGACAGGCTTCGCTGGAGTTATGCTGTTGATGGCCTGTGCTCCACTGGGAGTTAAAAAGGGCAAGAGAGAGAAATAATTTCCATACATCAAACTGTGTAGTGTTAAAAGAAACACCTCGTAGCACACTAAATCCTCTACCACTTGGGTCTAGGAAAAAGAATAGACAAAAAATGTTCTTATATCCAAATTGGCATGTCACCAACATTCTGGGGCAGCAATAAATAAAAACTAAGTTAAATGTTCTAAATCTGTGTACTGGGTATTTCAGGAACTTACTTTCAGAGGTACAACAGGCTCTGGCTGTTTGGTGAAGACAATTCTTCCATCCAGAAATGGTGGGACAATGTTGTGCACTTGCAAGTGGACACGCCCTTCATTCTCCTCCTCAAAATCCTCGTCAAAGTTGAGTCGGTCCACCACACCACTGCGCAACATCCTGTTGGTCTCCCACAGCTCGTTGTCCTGACAGCAGAAACATGACACACTTGAGGCCATTTCAAACTATCAACCGAAAAGCCCCACATTTGAACAGTTCTAAAAGCATAAAGAATGCTCAGTCACATTAAAGGGAGTAGAAAGGCATTATGATAAAATTCAGAAACAATATGAGATAAACCAGGACCAACCAATTTTAACTTGATAAAATTGCTTTTCCAGTAATTAATTTTCTATATCCACCCCTCCCCACCTCTGAAACAAAATTGTAAAAAGTACTCGAGGGCAGAGCCATAAGATTCTAAGTCAGCTTCACACCAAAAAGACAAGTAGCGAACCTTTCCTCTTTAGCTATTTTGCATACAGGATGAATAAGACCGAGGATACTTTCAGAACGGAATAATTCATACGATAAAAACTTTGCTTTCCTAAAACACAGTTTTCCACAAGGCAGAGAGTCAAACAAGTCACAGGATCCAGTTATCAAACATGTTGACAGTCTGAGATGAGGAAAGACTCCTCCTAGAAGAAAGTATTTAAAAATTCAGAAGTTGAATAGAGTTGCAGTGTACAGGAAGTCATTATTATGTGCTGCCACAGTCTCTTGTCTGACCTTATTGATCTGCCTTTGCTGAGCAGACATTCGCTTTTTCTTCTTTTGCTCCATTTCCTCCTCTTTCTTCCTGGTGTACTCCTTTGAAGTGCCTGAGAATGGATTGTGCTCGTCGTCATAGCCCTCGTCCATGTTGTACCACTCTCGATCGAGACGCTTCTGCTCCTTCTCCCAGTCTCGTCGATCCTCTTCCGTGTTGAATTCCAAAACGTTTTCCTTCCCTGAGACAGAATTAATTACACCCAATGAAAAGATTTTCAAGAAAAAGCTCTGATCACAAAATTTGTAGTGTTTGTTTATATACACTCAGAATTCTTCAGAGAATGTGTGGACTGGGGAGAAAACACATAGCAATCAGTATTTATGGAGTTCTGACAAAATGTCAAAGGAATAGTAAATGCCAAATTCAGAGATACACAAATGATTGTCATTCAAAGTAAAAAACTTCTCCATTTGTACAAAAACTAGCCATACTGTGGAGGAGATCACAACATAGAGACTAATATCACTACCTGATGTCAGCAAACACTGGTTCTTAGTCTAAATGGCACAATCTTTATTAAGAAAAGTAGGTAAAATCAGCACACCTCACATTATTGTTTCAACAAAAAAACTTTATTTTAAAATGCACATGCGTACACTCAAGATGAGAGGGAAACAACAACTGTTTTTCTTTTGATCAAAGCAGTAAGAAGCTCTCAGAAAAACATGCAGGGTAATTTGATCATCTTAATTATGTCAACCACACTAGAATTCTAATTTGCCATGATCCAGGCAAATTTCTTCGGACACACAATGCGGAAAGAAGCATTAGAGAATATTGTAACAACAGGAAAGTTTGATGGAAAGAGAGGCAGAGGCAGACAGAGGGAAAAGATACTGGACAAGATGACAACATGGCTGGGAGCAGCAAGAACAACACACACCATTGCATCGGCAAGGCACCGGATGATGATGATGAGAAGTTGGCAGCGTTGTGAGATTTGACTTTACAAAATGGAAATAACAAATCACTTTTATCTACCCCTGCCTGGAAATTTGAGGCAAAACAGCATTTTCCACATGCTGGTCTTTCCTTTAAAGCTGTACAATTCCTGTAAAGCCATACAACCTATGGAAAGTAGAAGTCCCTGCCATACCTGGCTGACCACCATCTTTGGGAGTGTATTCTATCCTCTTCCGGTCCTTCATCCACTCATTGTATTTGTAGGTAGGTGTTGCCTTCGGTGTGTACTCATCTCGTCGCCTCGACCTGAGAAAAAGAAAAGATAAACCAACTGTAAATGAATCTTCTACAGCAGGGCTGTTGGGGGGGTGGGGGGGGGGGGGGGGGGAGAAAGCAAAATGGACAAAAAGAAAAAACCAGAGATGAGGGAAAAGTATGAAAAAGCAAAAGACAAAAAAGCCAGACAAGATCACAAAAGTGAGAAGACCAGACCAAAAACAATATGGCTCAAGTGAGAAAGAAAGAAGGAAGCAAGAAAGGAGAAAGATAGAAGGAAATGAGATCAGATTAAAAGAGAGAATCAGGAGGAGAGAAGAAAGTAAATAAATGAAGAAAAAGACCCAGAAAAATGGTTCGTGAAGCAAAAGACAAAAGAAGAGAGTCAAGAGAGAAAAGACAATAACTCTGGAAACAGAAGAAATGTGAGGCAGCGTGGTGGAATCAGGCTCTCATCAATTTTTGGGCACGTAGAGTTATTGGTGTCATCTTAAAGCTTGTTCACTGGTCTTTATTTGGATGAAAAAAATATCCATTTCTCTTGAAAACAAGTCGAGATATTTGATAATGAAGGAGATGGGGTCACCTGTTTTCAAAGGTAAAATTAGTCGGAAAATGGCCACCAATGATTGGTTATTTCCTTAGCTTAAGAGTCCGTCGTAACTGAAAATATACATTTTTGTGCCTTTAATCAATGTTTTTCAGAAAAATCCACTCAGAAATGAGTTCTTTAATGGGCATGAAAGGTGTTGAGCCAAAAAACAAAAATTTGATAAAAATTCACAAACCAACAGAAAAATGCAAGTTTCTTCACTTTGATTATTTTGACGAGAGCCTGATTCCACCACGCTGACTCACAAATGAAAAAGGAGGAGACAAAAAAGAGAAGTTAGGCAGGGGGTCGAGCGTCGGTACAAAAACTACCTACCTGGATGATTGTTCCCTGTGACCACTTCTCTCAGACCTGTGGTGACTTCTCTCTCCGTCCTTTCTGTGCCTGCGGTCTCGATCAGATCGTTGTGACCAGTCTGACCTTTCTGACCTCTCAGATCTCCTATCCCTCGAGGAGGACCTGTCACGATCTCTGTTTTTGGAGTGGATGCTTGGGGAGGGTAAATCCCAGTTAGACCTGCTTGGCGCCGGGAGATCATCATCATCCCAAGTAGAGTGAGACGGAGTATCTGACCAAAAAAAAAAAATAAATAAAATAAGATTATCGTCACAAACGTGCTTACAGGCCCGCACACGACAAAGATCTCCACTTCTCTTGACCTTACATTAAAATAATGCACTCTGTCAGCATTTCTTTTCCCACAATAGTCAGCCAATACACAAAGTAACTTCTTACATATCCTTACTTATAAATTTTACTGGGTAAAATCAGTTGAACTACTGCTTAAACACATTAATATAGCCACAGCACAGATTAAATGATTTTATCATTACTTTACTTTTACTTTAACTTTCCCGATCCAGCGGCCATTTGGGTTCTAGCCCTTCGGTCTGTCGATATGGCAAAGAATATGATTATATCATAAAATCAAAGTAAAATTTTGAAAGACGAAAAGCATCACCAAACAACAAAAAACACTGACAAAATAAAAATGGTTGCTTAAAAGACATAAAACCGTCAGTGCCATCCCAGGAGGAAAGCCATTTCACTGACAGCTCCAAATGTATGCCCAGACCATGTTGTGCACCAGTTACCCCACTACAATGTTAAAAATGAAAGGACATTGACACCAACTATGATATCTTTCATATATCAAGTCCACACCATAACAATACCACAGCAGCAGGAACACACTGTACCTTTCACTTTTATATTAGGAGTGGGCATTTCATCTTTGTTAACTCTGAAGCGGCCAGTGTCTGGAGTCTCATCCCATTCCCTATTGCTCCTCTCGGAAAAGTCGCCGTAGTGTGAATGTCTCTCGCTTCTCTCACTTCCTCTGTCTGGAAAATAAAAACAAACATAGCAATGAATACAGTTATAAACTTGTCTTACTAAAGGAACTGAATGGAAAGGGAAACAGCTGCTGGCTTGTTTGGGGTTTTTTTTGGGGGGGGAGGGGGGGTGGCAAATGTTTACGGCACTTGCAACTGCATTAAACATTTTCAGTTGGTAGGAAATTTTAAATTTTGCCCGGGTGGCAGCCAAAGCCTACTTTTATAGATTTTAGACCATCAAGGGATCTTTAACATGAGCAACTTGCACACGAGACCTCCGAGATTTTTCAGCCTTGTCCCAGAAGGCTAGGTGTTGTTGTTGTTGTTGTTAATGATCCAGCAACAGCTGGGCTCTCGCCCTTCTGTCCAATGCCATGTAGAAGGTTAGGTGAAGATCTTTCCTACAAGAAGATCAGGGCTGTGGCTGAAAGACAGCAGTAAGAAGGAGTCAAGGAGTAGCAGTAGAAGGGCTGCAGAAAAATCAGGAGCCCAGAGGAGGGGGCAAAGAGGGCGAGGGGCAGAAAGTGGAAACGAAAGCAGACGACAGAACATTGCTAGAGAGCAGGAAAGGAGGTGAAAGGAGACAATTTTAGAGAAGAAAATATTTCCATCGCTACCCGGATTCGAACCCGGGACCTTTGAATGAGAGGCCAACACCTTAACCTCCAGGCCACGAGAGCCCCCTGCAGGCATGTTCGTGCCACAGAATCAACAACAAATCCTAAAACAAGTACATGTTCAAATACAGTTCTCACAGCAGGAACAGTAACACTTGATGCAATTTTAGTAAATTACGCCAAAGTTTTATTATAGATTACTGCCTATATAACTGATTCACTTCCCACAAAGCAACAGTGGTGTTTCAATTTTCGATAACAAGGACCACAAACTGCAAACAACAGTAATTACCTGTTTACTAAAAGGAAAGACAAAAAATCAGGTCACTGAGATGAGTCAGTTCACCAAAACTAAAGAGAAATAGCTAGCTTTCATTTTTTTTCTCAGTACAGCTGAGAGCAGCACAAACCTTAAACACTACCAAGAATAATAATAATAATCTCCATGCCTGTGAATTCCTACAACACAGCCATTCTCAACAATCATGGATAACTGACAAACACAACAAACCACTTTTCACTATTAATTTTACCCAATTTGGAGAATTGGCCTGGTCAAGCCAAATGCCCCGCTGAATAAAAAACGGACATAAAAGTACAAGGCAGAAGTGGATTTAATTATTTTCAAACCTTTCTTTCTTGAATGATGTCTGCTGGAATCTTTGTCCCTATCTCTTTTCCTGTCCGAGTCATAAGAAGACACCTTGATTCCTCTTTCTTTGTCTTTGTGGTGTTTTTGTAGCCGATCTCTGGCCGCAGAGCTAACGCCGCCTGGATGAGATGGGGTGTCCTCTCGCGGTTGACGGTACTGTCTGAAATACATAAGGACGAATATTCATGTTGTTATCAAGTAATTAAGAATAAAGCTAGCATTGCACTTCCCACATCTTAAATGATAACTTTCACAGCATTAACAAATGCATTGACACTAAACATTCTTTAAGCCTTACAAAACAGAACTTTAACCCCTTCACAAAATCGATTACACACTGAGCAAACAATTATTTACTCTTGAAAGAATTTCAAACTCATATATTTCGCAATCTTCATTGAAGCTTTGACTCACTTTAAATCCTTTTTTTTTAAACTCTTGGAGCTGCGACAATTTAGCTTTCCTCCCTGCCCAAAAAAAAATTTTAACTCATGAATACATCTTTATAAATTCCATAACCGTTTTCTTATAATGTAAACAGTTACTATCTGTATCTGTTATAAAAGGAAATTTCCCTTTTAGACAAAGGGTAAGCTACATGTCACAATAACAACAGTGCTTCCACCAGCTGAAGCTGGAAAGTAAGGAAAATTGTGCCGGGGGTCTGGGGGCCGCACAGAAAAAATTGAAACTTAGGGTTTTTAGAGGGTTGAAAATGGCATATGGGAGCCCGTTTGAAGAGATTGCCTACAACCCATAACATTTATTTTTTTCACCAACATTTTGCCTTGTTTTATTCTTTCACTTACATATCTTTCCATTATTGGCAATATTTAAAAGCAGGTTCCCCTTCCATTGCTACTATAATTCAATTAATTCGTCATCACACCATTGATAGAAGGCAAACTTGAGAATAATGAATAGATATGTACCTTCACAATACAGTAACGCAGCGTATACCCTAATTCTCCTCAATATTCAACTCTGAATGTCGCATGTCACAACCTCAGAACACCACTTCGAATTATTCTTGATTTTAGTAGTTTTAGCACAAATTTCTTTCATCGCAGCCCTTGTCACATTCCCGTGCTGTAGAATCTTCGCACTGATAATTTCTCTAGATCTACACCATAAATTTGCAAAGGATTTTCTTTCTGACCGTTATTTTCTGCCTAAGATCACAAGTCAATTTACAAATATACTTGATCAACGCGCAGATTCTCCAGCCGCGGCAACAATCCGAAGATAGACAGACGGAATGAGGGAAAGATAGAAAGGAGGAAATTGACCCAAAAACTTTGTCAGATTTTGATCAATCTGCTGGCAAAAATGTACTGCTGACCAACTCGCAATGAATGCATGGGGCATAGCGGAATAATGGCCGATGGCAGGAAATGCGCAATCTGGCAGGTTTCTATAACATAAACTTATTGCCGAGAGAATTACCGTAAAAATATCCTTACAACTTATACAAGACGATACAAAGGCGAGTACGGATCTTTCGCTACGGAATTTCGGTAGTCCTATGCTGTCGCAGATTGTTACGGAGGGGGTTGATAATGATGGAGGAACAAGTACGGAACTGGCAGAAAGTACGGATTTCCGTAAAAATACGGAAGAGTGGAAGCACTGTAACTAGTTTTAAAATAATTTTTTTTTGGCAAGCATTACTCTTTCATCTGCGGTAAAAAGGGCAGCAGGTAGTCATTAGTCCAATCAATGACCTGCGATAGAGTGATATTCATCTCTGTATAAAATATCAAGTAAAAATAAGGTCAAAGCAAACAACCGAAAGCAAATTTCTATATACTCTATTTCCCCATACTTCTTCTATCCATGCTTATATTAAGCCACACCTTTCTTTGTCCTTGTGTTTTTTTCTGCTAGTGTCTCTGTCATCTTCCTCAATGTCATCCTCTTCATTGTCATCTCTGTAAGATAGAACCTTAGACCTTTTAGGTGTAGAGGAAGCATCCTCCTGTGCGTCTCGTTTAGCTGCAGCTAGTCTGTCCAAGCCAAGAAGGGAAATCCTGGGAGTGTCAGGTTTTTTGAATTTATGAGAGTTGTCAGCAGACTTAGAGGGGCCTTTCTTCATGATGAGCAAACCACCTTGCTCTTGACCACTGGACCCCTCCAGCCTATGGATCTCTTCATCCACCTCAAAGCTGGCCATACTGGAAGGCTCCTGAAAAAAGACTGATGAAAGAAATCAAATTTTAAAAATGAGCCCAGGTCAGTAGAATTATATAAACATTTGTTAAATTAATTTGATAAAATTTACCATTACTTTGAATTTGAAACTAATAATGAGTAATAGTAATAGAGAAATTTTGATATAATCCTCCTCTTCTTCTTAATTTAAAAAACCTAACCATAGGAATCAGGTCCAACAAGATGAGGCCTAGTTGGCCATTTATAAAACCACAATGAGTAAGAAAAGAAAATACTCAAAATGAGAGAGAAAAAAATTAAAATGAAAAAAAGAACTGTTTTACACAAATGGCAGAGAAGTCAAAAGATCAAAGAGGACGATACAGAATACAGGAAAGCTAGAAGAGAGACCACAAGAATTATCTAGCTGTTAAAGAAAATGCATGGAAAATATATACATGGGGAAGAGACATTTCATCTCGCACGCAGTGATTTTGTTTTCATGGGTTTAGTTTTACTTAATGCCCAGGTCTGCCACTGTGACTGGTAATGTTGGTATATTGACATGTTTCTGCAAAACTCTTAACATCACAAAAAGAGACTGGTACAGATATTAAGAAATAAAAGTAACTGTTGGCACCGAGTCCTGCCTGCATTCAGAGAAACAGTAAATAAAATGGTTTGGCCACCTGTTATAAATGAATTTCACCTTGCCAGCCAGACTCAAGAGCCTATTACACCAACCACTCATAATAATAATATAATAATAATATATAACATTTATATAGCGTATTTCCAAAAAAGTAGGCTATATAAAGGAAGAAGTAGACCACACAAAAGATGGATTGATGGAGTCAAGGAAACCCTGAAAAAGTATGACCAATTGAAAGAGCTGTACAGAGCTGGCCTACCATAATAACCAATAACTTGATATTTTGCAGTTAAGTTTGAAATTTTTTTGAAAATAATTGATTTGCGACAGTGGCTGGATTGAACTTTGGTGGACCCACTGTGTTTACACATGTAAATTAATGCACGCTAGACATAACAACAGTGGAGGGTTTCAGGGGGGAAACAATAATAATAAAGCAAGTGGCTATTCTCCGGCGTCGCGCCGGTCAATAGATCGGAAGCTATTCTCCGGCGTCATAACTAGGCCTAGTAAGTCTACTTTTTATTATATTTTATCTATGGTAATTGTCTAACATAACTTTATTCCTTTATTTCCATCGCCCATTTGCTTATTTTAAAATAATGATTCTGTTTATAATTTATTTAAACAAACAAAATTGATTTTGTGCCTAAAATCCTGTCTAAAAATAGTATAGCTTGTTGTTTAACTAAATTTCTTGTTGTTGTAATTTTCGATCAATTTAACTGATATGTCGCGACTTCAGTGCTTTCTTGTTGTATCTCCATTTTTGTAAACAGTGAAAATGTGACTCCTTCTTATGCTCACTCTTTGTCATGAATTCGCGTCAATAGTTGTGAACACGTTTTTTCTAACAATTCTAGCACCCAACATAATTCTAAATTGGAGGAATTAGGGCAGTTTGTGTCTGAAAACCTATCGTCTGTATCAATGGAAGTGGCACTAAGTGGAAAAGTTGTGGAAATTTTTTTCCAAGACAAACAGATGAGAGAGGTATTTGCAAATCTGCGCCAACAAATTATTAGTAATAGACCAGCTGCGCGACACTGGAGAATAGCTTCTGATCTATTGACCGGCACGACGCAGGAGAATAGCCACTTGCAATAATAAAAAAACACAATGCTAAACAATAAGAGCAGACCATTGCACAGCTAGGTTAAAAAGTAGTTCCTCTCTCTCTCTTTCTTCTGGCGCAGTGGCGTCATAAACGGTCAGTGGTGCTAACAGCACGCAGGAACTCAACACTTGACTTGCCCGGGGTCCTTAAAAAGTGCTGAAAGTGCGTTACTGAAATGTCCCAGCAGACAGGTTCTAGCACGATAGTTGGCAGGACATCTCAGGAACACATGGTCCATAGTTTCGTCCTCCTCCTTGCAGGCTCGACAGGACAGATCTGGGTTGTCTGCTGGCGCAATTTTGTGGAGATATGATCTCAGCTTGGGCGACTTTCCACCAGTTCTCATTTAAATTAAATAAAAAGTAGTTCCGACTTCGTTCAGTGTTGGGTCCACCCAAGTTCAATCTTACCGCAACAGTTTTAGTGGCTATTGATCTAGATCTAGGCCTATCCTATAGCCTATGTGTGATCTGCAGACACAGTTTGACCCCGCCTAAAAGTAAAGTTAAAGCAGTGCATAGCTTCTGTGTGCAGGTGCAGGAGTACCTCTCCGAATAGTTCCTGGGTGTTCGCCAGAAACGTCTCTGAATATCTTTTGCCCCGCCCCCCCCCCCTCTAGATTCTAGATCTAGACCTAGAGATCTACATCTAGATTTCTAGTTCTAGAATCTAAAGCTACGTTTACACAAAAAAATACAATCCGCAATCACTCAAGGTGCGGTGAAAGCAGTCAAAACTTGATCGAGGTTTCAACTTAATTCCTCGAATCTAGATCTATATATCTAAATCTAGACTCTAGATCTCTAGATCTAGATCTAAATCTAATTTATATTCATAAATTGCTTTGCTCCATACGGACATCTAATTCAAACTAAAATAACTAATCAGAACTGAAGAAGAACGCTTACTTTCGATTCCAACGCTGTGGTGAAGTTATAAATCGTCTTTTCCCGATTGAAGTGCACACAACAGGAAGTGGAAAGGTTTGTTTTGATCGTGAAGGTCCTGTATTTTTATCCAATAATATTATTATCCAAATATTCAAAGGGATTTTTTTAACCATAATCTAAGATAATTGATTCTACAAAACTTATAAATAGCATTCTAGCATAATGAATATTTTGAAACAAATAAAACTGAAAATTGTTAAACATTTTTGCTTATCTCAATAAAGTGCGAAATCATAAGTAACCCAAGCTTTACAGCGTCACGGAGCAACAATAAACAACATGGCGGACACACTTCTAATCCGTGCTTTGAAATCACAACCAAAACAGCTTACTTTATGCAACAAAAATCTTGTAAAGATACCGCGGGCTATCGGAAAGTTAGATTGTATTTGTCAGCTACAATTGAAAAATAATAAGATTAAAAAACTACCAAAGGAACTGTGTCACTTATTTCAGGTATGCTTTTTTATATTTATTAGCCCTATCATCTCGCTCTCTCTCAGAGACATGATGCGAAGTCATGACAGGCAAGGTTCATATTCATGCGTAAGCCTAGCCTAAGTGCTTGGTAGTAATTATACTTATAACCTCAACTTATTTTTTTGTAAAATGGGAGGACTTTCATAACGAACGACCAACCCGACAAACATAATAATATAGAAGACGACCTGTCCTAATTAACCCTGAGCCTGAGGACCCGCCCAATCGCCCTCCTAATCCTACGCCCTACCTCTATACACCAAACCCTACCACAAACCCTATCCCTACACTTACCCCAAACCCAAACCCTACCCCTACCCCAAACCCTAACTCTCCTTTCTACTTTCTACTCTTATTTCATATATAGTGGTCGCTCCTACGGAATTCCTCCCAGTAAAATTTTAATGAAGCTACAGCGAGCACCTAGCACATCTCTGTGATTGACCGAAATATAGATTATATATTTCCGCCGTCTATTTTTGTTGCCTTCCTGGGCTTCCCTTGCTAGTTGACGAGATCTCACTGTGGTGGGCCCTCTTTGCCGCTTAGCACGCAATCCGATGGGTCACATCACTTGGTTTCATGGCTGACTGCTTGCGATGTGTGTGCGCGTGCGCGGGCATGTGTGTGTGTGTGTGCGCGCGCTTGTGTGTGTGTGCGCGCGCTTGCGTGTGTGCATGTTCGCACGTACGTGTGTGTGTGTGTGTGTGTGTGTGTACGTGTGTGTGTGTATAACTTTGAGGAGAAGGTAAATTTATGGAATGAGAATTGCTGAGATTGTTTATAAAAGATAACACAAATTAATACCTAAAAAAAAAAACACGGCGAAAACTAGTCAACTGGACTGGCGAGGGAAACGTAAGAATCTTGGGGGAAATCCCGAGAAACGACAAAAATAAATGGCGGAAATACGTCATCTATATTTGGGCCAATCACAGAGGTGTGCTATCGGTGCTCGCTGTAGCTTTGTGTAAAATTTGTAGGCTATGTGAGGTAGGCTAGATTTTATGACATTGTATCAAATTGTGCGATTTAATGTTGTATAGATCTATATGTTTTATTAAAATGGCACAAAAAAATTGAAATATATTGTGTCCATTCTGAATACCTACTGTACTACTAAATAATTTACTAAATACTGTTCACTTCGTTGTTGTTTTTTAACCCAAACGAAAATATGCCAAACGCTCAAATCATAATTTTATATTTAGGATCTATCAAACTCAGACTGCTTTAAGTTCCTGCCCTGCAGTCTGAATATGAACTTTCAAGTCGTTTGTGTGTCTTGCTTGGGAAGTTGGAATAAATGTGAGGCAGCGTGGTGGAATCAGGCTCTCGCCAAATTTTGGGCATGTAGAGTTATTGATATCATCTTAAAACTTGTTCACTTGTCTTTATTTGTGGAAAAAAATATCCATTTATCCTGAATACAAGTCGAGATATTTGCGAAAAAAGGAGGTGGGGGTCACCTGTTTTCAGAGGTAAAATTAGTGAGAAAATGGCCGCCAAAGATTAGTTATTTAGAGTCTGTTGTAACTGAAAATTTACTTTTTTTGTGTCTTTAATCCAAGCTTTTGAGAAAAATCCGAGCAGAAATGAGTTCTTTAATGGGCATAAAAAGTGTTGAGCCAAAAAACAAAAATTTGATAAAAATTCACAAACCTGCAGAAAAATGCAAGTTTTTTCACTTTTTGATTATTTTGACGAGAGCCTGATTACATCACGCTGCCTCTCAAATGTTGTTTTTGTTACTGGTGAATCTAGTCAAACTCCTACTTCTGATAATTTAAAGCCAAGTTGAATTAGCAATTATAATAGTCTATGATTTTCTTGTTTTGTGATCAAACTCTGCCAAGTTAATTGATATTCCGTATAGTTGTTTGCTGTGGATTGATTTGAATTTAAGGAGCAAAGCATCCTCATCTTACAAGTAGTCAGCAGAGCTATCTGAAATTAAAAGATAAAAGGTTTGACTACTGCTACTGTTACAATCAGAGTTGTTTCTCCTCTTATAATCATTTTAATTGTTGTATTTTGCATCACCAGCTGCAAGTCTTAAATCTTGGAAACAATGACCTGGATGAATTCTCCCCCATCCTACAGCATCTCCACAGCCTTGAAAAGCTACATCTATTTGGCAACAACATTTCACACATAGACAGTTCTTCTCTGAGTAAGACTTTTCATTTGCAATATATTTATAACTTAATACATAGCCAACACCCCCCCCCCCCCCCCCCCCCCCCCCCCTCTCCTTCAGTGTATTATATCTTTAAAGTCACAAGAAAGAAAGGGTGAGAGGCGTATAGAATTCTGATATGATTGTCAGTTTTATGCAATCAATTTTTTAAAGTTTTGTAATGTGAACAAATGTTATAGCTCTTCGTGGTGATAAAATATGAAAGATGTTTACATGGTAGTGTTATCATTAAAAAATTATCTTTGGGAATTTGAAGATTGTCACCTATAATCTGAGAAGGAAAGGTACCTTATAGTCTAGACAGCTGATTATTTATTTTTTTACATCATACTTCATGTAATTCAACCTGTTGTTGTTGTTTTTGTTGTTTTTTAAGTCAACATATTATCTTTTAGGAAAAGAAATCAGTTTATGGTTAAGTGAGTTCTGCTCCACTGTAAAGCATTGATCGAATATTTGTATGAACGTTTCCATTTTCATCGTAATGTTCCTTTTCCTGTAAGGATAGGATGCTCTGCTAAATTGTTTTTAATTTTTAGGTGAATTTTCAAAGTATTTGCTTGAATTTAGATAGATTGACTCTCTTACTAACAATATTAGAGATTTTTCTGTTTTGTGCAGACGGCTTCCGCAGTTTGACATTTCTCAACCTCAATGGCAACAAACTGAAGCAGCTTCCTCCTGAAATCTGCAAGTAAGGAGCTGACCTTTTGTTGTAACTTTAGAACTTTGGAATGAGACATCTGGAAGGAGCAGTTAGTGTTGGAAATAGATGAATGTGAATGGGATGGGTTTAAAATGCTTTTTTTTAGAAAAGGAAAAAATATCTGTGAGGTTCTAAACTCAAAAACAGTGAAGAGTATATGTGAAGCATGCTGACAAAATGAGTTACTTCTCGGATTTTAGCCTTATGGAAACAGATGCATCTCGCTTATAGGTGAAGTTTTTACAATTTATATGAATTTAATAATAAAAGGCATGTTATACATGACATAAAGTATATGACATCAATATAAAATGGGTAGCGATATTTCGACGGCATGCCGTCTGAAAATCGTTGTTGATATTTCCACGGCATGCTGTCTGAACATCGGAAGTGATACCTATACGGTATGCCGTCTTGAGTCTAAAGATCGGAATTGATATTTCGACGGCATAGGCTGTGCTTGAAGTGTATCAATGCAAGAATTGTGTTTGTTTTCCAGGCGACAAGCTGGGTGATCATACCTACTCGACCCAACCCAATCCCATCCGCAAATGGGCACCTTTCTGTTGAAAAAAAAGTCTTCTCTCCATTTTCTTGCACAAAATATATTGTGCATCTCTCACTCTCGTTACAATCACACAAAACATTTCATCATTGTCCATAATGCACAAAATGATAGCAAAGGATAAACATTGTTAACTAAACATACAGGTGTCTTCTCTATATAATAATGCGTTACTTATGGAAAAGAGATTATAGGCTTAATTATAAATAGTCCAGATGTTCTGATTGGCTGAATTTATGTGTAGTGGAATTATCACTTCCGATTTTTCGACAGCCTGCCGTATAAATATCCACTTCCTTTTATTCCATATAAAATCTACAAATTTGATCTTAGTGTCTTTTTTTGGCTCGTATCTCCATTTGTGGGTTGCAAGAAGTAACTCTTGTTGTCAGCAGGCTTCACATATTATGGACAATATTTTTTTGTCCTTCAAGGGTTCTCTAAGTTTTGTCATGTTTTTCCAAGGGTTCTCTCTCATGCAAACAGTGTTTTACCATTGACGTCCATTGTCTTTCCACTTTAAAAAAAAGAGTAGCAGACTGTTAGTGGAAAAGAGAGTGTACTTCTCCTTTTGAGGATTGTTGGAAAACTGTGTGTAAAGACTGAATTTGTTTTGTTTTTTAGCATTTTTAAAATATCACATCAATATTCATATTCTCTGAGGAGGGACAGCTTATTTACTCTCAACGAGCAAGTTCTTCAAATTAAAAGAAGAAATCTAAAACATCATAATGGCATCACATAAAAACTAGTCAGACTAATCTAGGAATGCTACAAGGGTACAGCTACAGAGTCGTCCTCGAAGGTCATTTTACCAGTCAGTGGCTTATTGGTTAAGCTCTCGGACTCGCAATCGTTAGGTCGTGGGTTCGAATCCCGTCAGGGGCCCGACGTTGTGTCCTTGGGAAAGGCACTTTGCACAAATTTTCCTCACTCCACCCAGGTGGAAATGGGTACCCGGCTATAGACAGTGAAAGATCTTGTCAGTTTGATAGTGTTTGAGCGCGTGAAATCCGCAGCTTGCACTGTATGCTTCCATGGAAGCCGAGTATGTTTCTGGGTGTTCTCAGAGGGTCTGCTGGGATAATAATGGTTGTAAAGCATATAGAGCATGCTCTTGAGCATGGATATGCGCTATATAAATGCAATTATTATTATTACCAACAGCTTCCAGATATATACAGGAGTGAAACAAGGATGCCGTCTTTCTTATTTCTGCTTACCGTCTGTTGGATCATGAAAGCAACCACGGTTAGCACAGATTTGCCCAAAAAAATCTACAGAAATTCAAATAGATATAGAAATTTTATAAATCAGTACCAGAAAAATGAACGTGAGTTGGACACACCTTGAAAAAACTGGAAACAAACATAATCCTCCAAGCCATAAGATAGAATCCACAAGGAAAGAGAAAGAAAGAAGGCCAAAGAGTACTTGAAGGAGAGACTATAAACCCGTAACAGAAATCTAAAGAGAGCCCTGTTAATGGGTTGTACTCAGGCATGGGGAGAAAGAGGCTGATGATGATCTGCAACATGATCCCGAGATTTGTGTCAGGTCCATTTAGTTCAGTTTTCCTTTTGCTTATACATGTATTTATTTACATTTTCGGTTACTATTGATAAAATCCACCCCTGCTGGTGGGGGGCCCCATAGTTTTACTATGGGGGAGCAAAGAATACACCTGCCGTGATACTGCGGGTCGTAAGAAGCGACTAAAAGTGCATAGGTCTGGCCACCTGAAAAGTGTCAGTTTGCGGAGGGCCAACTACCCAACCCAGTAAAAAACAGTAAGTTACAGAAACACGGACAAACACAACTTTTTATTTTTCAATCTTGGGAGACGGAGAAGCTTCTGCATCAGCAGGAACAATGAAGGGTACAGAAAAGTGGGAAGACATGGAATAACATCAAGAGGCTAGCCCAGGATAGAGAAAAGTGGAAGGTATTTGTCCGTGGCCTATACCCTGATGCAGGGTGAGAAAGGCAATGATGATGATGATTTATAAAATCCCATGCATTTCTATAATTCGCATCAGAAATTTTGTTTCCTCTCTTTTGTTGCCTTTCAGCCTGATCAGCATTGAGCATTTGTCAATAGATAACAATGAATTGATTGAGCTGCCCATAGAGTTCTGTGCATTAACAACTCTGGAGGAGTTTCATGCAGCTGGGAATAAACTGACCTCATTACCTTTGGAAGTTGGGTATCTAGTCAGCCTTGAAAAGCTTCACCTTCAGAGGAACAGGATCAGAGAACTACCAGAGGCGAGTATGCTCCCCCCCCCCCCCCCTCACCCCCAACCCTCCAGGACAACATTTGTTTCAAAATAAATCCACGTATTCTATTACCTACTGGATAACCAGCTGTGGGACTATTTCAAGAACAAAACGCAGATTTGTCAGTGTAGGTGCAGAAAATGTATAAGTTCTTTTTAAGGGGGTTTTATGGTTCTTAAATTTATTTGTCTTTAGAGTTTTTTTATGCATTTAGCTGTCAAAGCAGCTAAATTCAATAACTAATTATTGTTTCATCCATGAAGGAAAAGGAATGGACTTTTTGTTCTTGTTGGTATCAAGTTTATTTTGTTTGGGTTGGGGGGGGTTTTCCGTTGAGGTTGTAACAGCTCAGGGACCCTGCATTTATTTTCGAGTTTATATAGCTGGACTTTTATTCATAGGATTATTTAAAGACAAGATAATTTCTTTTTTGATTAATTCATTGCTGAGGAAAAGCTAAGCGCTTCCACTGAAGTGTAAAGAAGTTCTGCAGCTTTGTCAAATGGTGGCCAGTCCAGAAAAGCACCAAGCACAAATGACTGTACAGCCTATTCAGGCATCGCACTGAGGTCAAATCAAACTGGGTCTGATTCACCCATTCCTGTACCCAACTAGGTCAAATCAAACTGGGTCTGATTCACCCATTCCTGCACCCAACTAGGTCAAATCAAACTGGGTCTGATTCACCCATTCCTGCACCCAACTAGGTCAAATCAAACTGGGTCTGATTCACCCAGTCCTGCACCCAACTAGGTCAAATCAAACTGGTTCTGATTCACCCAGTCCTGCACCCAACTAGGTCAAATCAAACTGGGTCTGATTCACCCAGTCCTGCACCCAACTAGGTCAAATCAAATTGGGTCTGATTCACTCAGTCCTGCACCCAACTATGGCAAGAATAATAGTGAATCAGTTTGCTGCAATAGCTCGTATTGATAGAAATGTGCTGGTATTTTACAACTTCATACTCAGGGGGTTTCTATTTTTAAAGTCCGTAGTGTTTAATCCTTCTTTCGTTGAACTTCGATACCTTTGATACTTTTACCTTTTCCCCCTGCTTTCCATATTACTTTTTGTACCTCCAACACACTAAAGAAAAATTTACTGATCTTCTAAAAATGTTTAAAGATTCTTTGTTGGGTGTCTTTTTTTGCAGGGACTGGGCAAATGCTACAACTTGAGATACGTTGATGTGGCTGCCAATGAATTACGCATTTTCCCAACTGAAGTAAGATGTTTCGCATAAGGAAGATAAGAATTAGGTGGAAATCTGACATTTGTTCAACACTTATTGTTAAAAATTAAGAATACAAATTCCTCTGGAAAGTCTGGTTTTCTCTCAAATGCTTCATATTGCTTTACTTCACCTGTACAAGTGGTGTGAAATAACACATAGAAAAGTGTTACCCTCACAACTGTCCTCTGTGTGAGTGTAAGTAAGGTGGCCAACTTTGTGCTACCCAATAGTACTTACTTACTTACTTGTCCTTACTTGTCCACTGTGTTGGGGTCACTGCAGTCGGAACATGTCCATCTCTGCTCCCCCCCCCCTCTTCAGGATCCACCCCAGAGTCCCCAGAGTCTGTCTACTTATAGTTTCCCAATATTACTTCTTACAGAAATGGATTTTAATGATAAATATTTGTTTTATGTATTTGTGGGTGTATGTATGTGTGTGTGGGTGTGTTTGTGTGTGTGTTTGGTCTCCCGTCTGTCTGTCAGCTGCGTAAGTATGCCTGTAGATAATGTAGGACATTTTTGCAGTGTACAATTTGGAAATATTCTTCTTAATTTTATCTTAAGATTCTTTTATGGGTGATGTTTGTTTTCCTGATTTACGTAATGTTACAGTAGCTGAATGAAATGCAGGCAATGAGGCTTCCTTATTTAAATTCCTGCATGTGGTTGAATGATGCATTTGATGTAAATGTACTTTTTGTCAACTTTACTTCTCCTTTCATATTGAATTTTAATGAGAGTAATATATATGATTTAAAAAAACTTTTGTATACCTGCATGTGTTTTTGCGGTCCTGTACAGCCAAGGAAAATTTCCCTCTGGGATAATAAAGTATTATCTTATCTTATCTTATCTCTTATCTTATTTTCACCATATTTAGTAAAAGTATGATATCATGGGCATAAACCACCATTTCAACCCATGAAAAGAAAATTGTATCTAGTGCTTTTACTATTATTATTGTTTTGAGGAAATATGTTTCACGATGCGGTGGAATGAGGCGCTCGCCTATTTTGAGACATGATGGGGTCATTTGTACCATCATAAAGCCTATCCATTTGCCTTGCTTTTGATGAGAAAAATATCAATTGATCTTGGATATAAATCAAGACATTGACGATTGAAGGAGGTGGGGGTCGCCTGATTTCAGAGGTAAAATTAGCGAGAAAATGGCCGCCAAGGTTGAGTTATTTCCTTAGCTTGAGAGTCCGTGGAAACTGAACATTTACATATTTTATGCCTTTAATCAATGTTTTTCAATAAAATCAACTCTGAAATGTGTTCTTTAAAGGGCATGAAAGGTGTTGAGCCAAAAAACAAAAATTCGAGGAAAATTTCCAAATTTTTGGCGAAATGCCTGTTTCTCCGATGTCGTTATTTTGACGAGCGCCTGGTTCCACCCCGTCATGACTCATATTATTGAAAATTATGGCTTTTTCATTGCAATTTGTAGGCCCTAATATAAAAATCACAGCCTTTTGAATTTACTTTTTTTTTTTAATCTCAAAAATGCCTTATACAGTAGTCTCCACCTAAGATCGCGGTGCTCGGGATCAAGGAAAAGCGGGATCTTAGGCGAACCGGGATCTTAACCGACGAACCCAGGGAAGAATCTATGGTGACCCATGTTAAGGCTTACAATCGGTAAAATGGTCTCCCTCCACTCTAAAATGAACTGACGTGACCGCCTGGTGGGTTTATGGCATATGGCGAGCAAAGAGTGGTTAACCTTGATGACCTATCACAGTGCATAGTGGCATGAGGCGTGCCATTTTCACTTATTATCCTATCATGAGGCTCAAGATCTACGCTTATCAAGTTGCCCCTCCCCTCCCCCTTACCTGTCGAAAATGTATAGCTTTCCATCTCCCCCAACCGCCTTTGTCGTTACACACCATTACGTTGTGAACTCACCAATTAAAATTCAGTCTGTCTCGCAAATTCGGGAGTAGAAACAACTTCTCCAATGGTCAGGGAAGAGTTCACAGTTCAATGTGATCCCGCCAGGAGCGAACGTGTAGGCCCTACCCACCCAGCGAGTGATGTAAGTTCAGGGGGATAGCTCAGGTGTGAGTGAGATGTTCGGGGAAAACAAACGTGTCGGTCAGTTCACACCCCGGTGTGATCCCGTCTGGGCAAACATTGTATTGCTTCATCGAGTTTTACAACGTGTATGTGATCACATTCACGATAGTAGCTGATCTTTGATGCGACGGACAGTTTATTGATCTCAAATATTCACTCTTGGTTGATCGGCTCTCCCGCCCGGGGTTTTTTCCGCAAATAATGATCTGAAATGCGGGATCTTAGCTGAATGTAGACCTTCAGAGTGAATCAGAGCGGGATCTTAAGGGTGACTTTTGTATAGTAAAAATTCTGTTTTCTTAAAACAGCGGGATCTTAGGCGAACCGGGATCGTAAGCGGTGGGATCTTAGGCGGAGACTACTGTAGTTGTATAATTCAATGTTGTATGTAATTTAATCGTGTTGTTTTTTACGTGCTAAATTTTGTCAAATTTAACAAATTTGTAACAACTTGCTTTCAAGGGTCAATTTATACAAGTTAAGTAAAAATCTATCCTCATTCTCATCAGCTGTCAAGCTTGCCATTGAAGGAGTTATATTGCGAAGAAAACCCTCTGCTACAGAACATGCCTGTGCACTCTGTGCAAGAAGAGGAGGTGTTGTCTCTCAAGGTAAGTTGTCATAATTTTCAGAAGGTGAATGTGTTTTCCCTCGTTATCTCATGATTGGGTACAGGCATACTTGTAATTTAAGAGAAATGTGGTCGAAGCATTTCTCACACAGGCCAAATTTTTTATCAATGAGTTTTTGGGTCTGTAAAATGTGGCATGTAGTGGATTGAGTGTTTTGGGTTTGTTTATTTGTTGTTGAATTGTTTGTTTGTTTTCTTTGTTGGTTTTTTTAATTAGTGATTTTTACTTTCAGTTGAGAGAAAATAATGTCTCATGATTCATGAGGCCTCATAAAGATTTTATTGCTATGCCAGGACATATGTATATACACACAGTAGGTTCCTTAGCTTTGCACCTAAAATTACCTGATTCCACGAAAATTACTTTTTTTTGACTACCAGATTGCAGTGTCCTTGCTTACCAAATGTTTCTTTATGTTTGAGTAAGGGTTGATTTCTACTTTTGCCCGGGCAGTCTCTCTTGACCTGCCTTATACTATAACTTCAAACTTCTGTGTTGTGCTAAACGTACTTAAAACTGAAATAGTTGTGTTAAGTCCAACATCCTTAAGGAGAGAAGGTCTGAAAACTCAAGCCATTCTCCTACCATGCCTGTTCTAAGTTGGAATTGAACCTGAGTTTGACATGAGATTTGAGAGGTAAACATCATAATTCAAGGATAAGAACAGACTGACGACATTCTTTGAGGGAGTACATGTCGTGATCTTCTTCATGAAATGTAAAGAATTTGGTGGGAGAGATCTAGTTTCCCAAATTTGCAAGACAGGCTATCAAATCATAATAATAATAATAATAATAGATAGCATTTGTATAGCGCAAATCCCCACTCTACAGCAAGCTCTATGCGCTTCACAATCTATACTATTACCCCAGCAGACGTGAGAGCATTCTGAAACAACCTTAACTTCCTGGGAAGCATTCAGTGCAAGCAGCCATTTATAGGTGCTAAAACACTAACATACTGACAAGATCTTTTACTTTCCATGGCCGCGTACCCATTTCCACGTGGGTGAAGTGGAGAAAATTCATGTAAAGTGCTTAAATCATTGTCAAAAGTGCTGCCCATTTCTGCAAAGCTTTCCTTGGCATGCATTGGTAGCATCGTGCAATGTTGTCCAGTTTTAGAAGATATATGGATAATAAAGTAGGCCTACTGGTGAGCTTACGAAAAGATATTGAAATGCATTATTTTTTTAAAGTTGCTTTCTAGCAAATTTAGGTAGCTATGCAAAACTTCTGCTTGTATTATCCATAAAGAACATAACTTTTTACTTGTGCTCTTTTTAACTGATTAGAATGTTGATTTTCTGCTTCACAGGAGCTGAGCGCTCGATACATTATGAAAGAACTAAAGGACAGGTAAGTTTGAATTTCTTCTATACCATTTGTTTGCAAACATTATGAGAGGTCAAGCAAATGGATTATCCATTGCTCACCGATCTGGAAAATTTTTAGTTGCATTAAAAAAACGGAGGGAGCTGAAATGAAGGGATCTCTTTTGAATTGAAGATGGAATGACAAGACCCTAGTGTACTTAGGATAAAATTTTATTCTTAATATAGTTTACAGGAAACTATTTCACAGTTCTGCGTACAATGGATCCGGTTTAGAAAGACGCAGAAGTAACTTTGAACAATTTTGAATGGCTGTTTTTTTTCCCAATGGTTACTCATTGTAGTCAAGCTAATGTACACTTTCAGCGTAAACACATAATGAGGATATGAAACTCTTAGAAATTGTGTCAGTTTCAATGGAAGGGGAGAAGTTATTAAAACTCCTACATTTTAGAAAGACAAAATATCTACAACAAGGCTATAATTGTTGTGGGACATCTACAATCGTATCTTAATGAAATTGTTGAAGTCTTTTGACTTTACTTACCTGCTGTTTTCAAGCGACGAAGTATCGTGGGATGAAGACTCATCATCAGATGAAGACCCTGAAGAGTAACTATTCACCTCTGTTGAGAATGCTTTTGTCTTGTATCACTAGGACTGTTGCCTTGATGGTAGAGGATTTATAGTTTTGTTCTGTAATTTGTCTTGTATCACTAGGACTGTTGCCTTGATGATAAAGGATTTATAGTTTTGTTGTGTAATTTGTCTTGCATGGAGAGGTTAGGATAAAAAAAAGAGTGGCAAATATAGTGTCATGAAACGGTTGCTGTCTTGACAAGCAAGATGAATTAATTATTATTCAGTCACAAGATAACCATTTAGAATGCTCTGTTGTCTTTAAATCAAACTCAATCAAACTCTTAAGATATTAACAGGCTAAAACTTCTGTTGACAGTTTATTTTGATGAGCTGAAAATGTTCAACTATGAGTAATTGCTCCAGGGGCTTTTGTGCCCAAATTAGAAACAAAGCACCATATATATATGTCATTAGAGCTTTTCACTAAGGTTGCTCTTGAATTTTATAATAATAATAATAATTATAAATAGCATTTATACTGCGCATTTCCATTTCCTAAAAGATGCTCAATGCGCATTAAAATGAAAAAGACATCACATCTTAAAAATTAATCGACACAAATGTGTACGTAAAACAAAGTATTATACATATAATATAAATGCATATGTGTAAAATTTTATACCAGAAAAACAGTCTCGCAGTGAAGTTGAAAATGTGTTCACTAAAAATATACAATACAATAAAAATTCACGAACAGTCAAAATACAGTTGAAACGTGAGTAACTAGAAACATTCATTAAAACATTAATTCTATACAGATAGAAAAACATTATTTATCTTATTTTATCAGATATATGGGTTGTTTGTAGGAAATGTAGAACTTTGCAGAAAGAAATAATGAGTTTATTGAGCTAATATTACTGGTAAATATCTATGAAAAGAAAAAAGAGTTTATAAATGATCATCCAAGCAGTTCACAAGTAGGCGGTTTGTGTTGCAAGAACAAAGATGACTCCCAAAACAGTGCTGGGTTAAAATTGCTTGTTTCTCAATGGCATTGCTAGAGTACAAGCATAATTCAGCATGTGTTCTCTGTCTGTGATAATAGTTGTTGTTTTTTGTATTTACTCGGCGAACGTGATTTTGTTTAGCTTTGAGCTAGTTGTTTAAAAAGAGAAAAGCTAGCATTAATAAAGTTCTCCTTGGCATAATGCTTGCTCTTATAAGATGCCTTATTCAATCTTTAATGACAAATCTTTTCATGTTTAGCTTACAGATAGTCTGGGTGCATGTGCACATAATGCATATAAATAGATATTTAATTAGAGTTGTTTTCCTACAGTATTAATTCAGTTCAAATAAATAATTGGAGTGCCTGCTGAAAGTCCGGGCTCTTGGATAATTCTCTTCATTTGTTGTTTACCTTTCCTGGTTCAGTTTCTATCTAGGAAATGTCTAGGATGTACCAGCTGTAATTGAACGTCATGTGCTATCAATATATAAGATGTTTCATGGTATCTTCTTCATGTTCAGGTTTTGTATTCTAGTGTACTTGTAGCATAGATTTGTGCTGACTCTTAGAGTTAGTTCCAAACATAGATGTTGCTAGATGTGTGTGCTAAACACAAAATGGGGACCTCTTTTCTGTGGTTATGTTCAGTCTCAAATTTCTTTCATGTTTTGGGAGTGTGGGGGATTGGGGGGGGGGGGATTGTAACTTCAGCTTTGGAAATAAGAGGGTTTGTAACATTTGTTATGTTTATAAAAATGTATTTATTAACTGTATCATGAGGAAAAGATTTGACTGACAGTTAAGTTCATGAAGGCCCTGTGGATTTTATGGGGTCACTTTTTGTTATCACAATGTTCACATTTTAATAAGCGTTCCCCACAAGTTTTTGTTTATTAAGGTCACCAGATCAATTTCTAGGAATCAATATTTTTTCCATCTATTAAATAAAAAATCTCTATGTTGACAGAATACATTAGAGACATGCTCTACTAATCTGGAATAAATTTTGAGGTGAGGTGAAGTGCAACAAGGTTTTACCCAGTGGCTGTGGGTGGTTTTAAATGTGGGTGGGGCTGAGAAATCAGGGTGGGTAGAGTTCAAAGGTAAGATTTCCTTGGTTCAGAGGACATTCCAGATATGTGTGAGTATGTCTCATTCACACTTTCACACGCAAATGCGCTCATATAACCTTATACAGTTGCGAGTGCCATAAAACACTTACCAAAAAAATAATTAATTAATTAATTAATTAAACGCATTAGCGCACACTTACAACAGTAACTGGATTAGGTGTGGGGTCGCAGAAATTAAGGCATTCCTAAAACGTGGGTCTTTGAGCGTGTTTTGGTTACTGGCACTGGGCCTCTGGGGAAAGTGTGTCATGAACTTTAACAACAGTTTCTGCGGGCTCTCGTTTGTTTCTTTTACCATTTTTCAAGAAGAGTTTCATAAAGAAAGGACTGTGGGAATGGGCTCATCCTTTGTTGAGCTCTAAATACATTTGATTGGCTGTTAGGTTACCATTGTTGTAAGTGGTGACCACAGTGATTGGATAAACGAGCAAGCGTATGTGTTCACCACATGCAACGAAAGGCGGAGGCGGAAAATTCTGAAACAGCTCTATCGGTTTCAACTGATTATCTTGTTTATTAGAGGAAACTTTCATTTACGGAGGGAAAGAGTTCGGGGGGTGGAGTGGGAGTGGGTGGTGCTCAAGCCCTTTAGCCCATCACTACACTCCACCACTGTTTTTACCCCATGTGTTCTTCTTTCTAATGGATTCAGCAGCGTACCTTACTGTAATTGATGTACTTGTTTTCAACGGCAGATTTGTTCTGGAAAGTTTGCTTATTTCTTATTTTCACAAAAATGGATCGACGATGTGTCTTCACAAAAGAACTTTTTCTTAAAACTTTTATTTTCAACTCTGACAGTGGAACTTTTACAAATGTCATTCTTTTTTATAGTGCACATTTATTAAATCTGCATGCCATTTTTCTAATCTTTTCTTTTGCAGAAGTACATATATATGTATCGGCCTATGTATATAAGAGGCATGCATACGTGTGTATGTGTATGGATATGCGAGTGTATGCATGTGTGAGGGTGATTTGTTCTTTTTTTCTGTTTTTGTCTTTGTATGTGTGTGTAAGGGGGGGGGGGGTGTCATTCACATAAGTATTTTTTTTTATATATAAAAGAGGTTTTAATAAACTTGTTTTTGTTATATTTAGATGGTCGTATATGCGAAAGGCTATACGTCATTATCCAGACATCCGCACCATGTTGGCTCAGTCAAGTAAATGTGCAGTCTGTGGAGATTCTTTCCTGAACACGTGGCTTGAATGTGTGAAGTTTGTGGATGCCAAAGAGGTAAGACCTGTGGAGAGAAAATAGGTTTCTCCTAGATATGAACACAGAAATTGTAGAAGAAATCAAAATGTACAATAGAGGTCAATATTTACACGCTTTTGTTGAATTCCTTAGAATGGGCAAGTCATGTTGTCTGAAGGTGAAGAAGGATATGTCAGAGTGCTTTTATCATAGCACATATCCCTGTTCAAAGGTAACATCTATGAGCTTTATAATTTGTTACAAATATAAAATTCTAAAACATTGGCAGCTTCTTCAGAAGCGTGGAGGCCAATTGTCATTTTTCAGGCTCTGAGATAATGACATACTGACAAGTTCTATTTCTGTTTAAATTACAATTCCAGCCCCTTGACAACTATGCGACTGTGGCCACAAAATATACAACTGCCGAATCTTTTTTTAGTTTGAGTGGAACAATCCAGTAGCTTGTTTGAGTTCTCCTGTTTTGCGTTCTTACGTTTTGAGTTTATTTTAAACATATGTTTGAAATATTTTCCTAAACGATAAGTAGTGCTATGAATGAACATATTTGTTCTTTATATGTTGTCTCATGACTGACCAGCTTGCTTTCTCACTCTGTCAACAGGACCTCAAGTTGACCTCAATCTCAGGCTCAATTCCTGTGCGGGCTCTTCTCTGTTCATACCGTTGTTTCAACGCTGCAGGGCACAATTATTATGGTGTTGCTTTTCCCTGAGAAAAGAAAAGATTTCACGTTATTTTGATGTCCCATAATTTGCTGCTTCTGTGCCCACCAGTGTATTTACCTGCTACAGTCCAATGATATATATATCACTTAACTTGAAATGAGATAATGCTTTGTTATTTGCCGTTGGGTTTATTTATACACTACCACATGTTTACTTGAACACAGATTTCATCAGCATAACAAGCAATGTTCTTATCATCTTTGAGACACAGATTATCTTTGTTTCCTGCATCTATACTCAAGATGCCAAAGGAGTTTGACATTTGCTATTCGAGTGCTGGCTTTGTGTTACATTCATCTTTAATTTAAAGAAGCAACAACAATATTTCTTCTTCACTTTGATATGAAATTTGTAAATTCATAGGCCTACAAAGTTTGTTTATCTTAAAGATAAAAATTTTCAAGGTTAACACTTTGCAGTCACACAGCCAGCAGTACAAAATAAACCATCTGGTCACCCAGCCAGGAGAGCGACTGCAAAGGACTTCTTGGGCCGGATAATTTTCTCCGGCGCATTATTGCACCAAGTGACTGCAAAGTATTAAAGTTTAGGAGATTTAGTCTTCATGTGACAGGTTTTCATTGTCATCAATGCTTCTCACCCTGGATCAGGGTATGGGTCACGAAAAAAAAATTTCCTTAAATCCCTCTCCCTGATTCACCTCTTACTCTTAGTATAATTGTGAGGCACCGTGGTGGAATCAGGCTCTCGTCAATTTTTGGGCAAGTAGAGTTATTGGTATCATCTTGAAACTTGTTCACTGGTCTTTTATTTAGATGAAAAAACATCAATTTATGTAGGATACAAGTTGAGATATTTGCGAAAGAAGGAGGTGGGATCACCTGTTTTCAGAGGCACGATTAGTGAGAAAATGGCTGCCAAAGATTAGTTATTTCCTAAGCTTAAGAGTCTGTGGTAACTGAAAATTTACATTTTTGTGACTTTAATCAACGCTTTTCAGAAAAATCCTCACAGAAATGAGTTCTTTAATGGGCATGAAAAGTGTTGAGACAAAAAACAAAAATTTGATAAAAAGTCACAAACCTGTGGAAAAATGCAAGTTTCTTCACTTTGATCATTTTGACGAGAGCCTGATTCCACCACGCTGCCTCACAATTTCATGTCTTCATGACAGCTTTTGTCACATCATAAACAGGGACAGGCAAGGAATGATGAAGAAAGGCCTTAATTGTTCTCTAGATTTATATAATACCATTTTTTGACAACGAAGCATTTGAGATGATACTTTTTACTGGAAACAGTCAGAGTGAAATGAAAAACTTATCTCGTCTTAGTTCTTGACACTTGGCTTGCACTGAGCTTAATTATTGAAGAGCCTGTACATTGTGTTGGTCACAGTGTAAGAGTCAAGTATTTGGGGGGTTTTGGCATTTACTGTTGGACATTGGTTTACAAACAAGTTTTTCTATACAACAGAATTTGTCAATGAAAAATTTACATGTAAACCTGAATGTTTGTGTTCTGGATTCTGTCCTTACCAAAGTTGGCAACAATAAATGTGAGGCAGCGTGGTGGAATCAGGCTCTCGTCAATTTTTGGGCTTGTAGAGTTATTAGTACCAACTTATAGCTTGTTTACGTGTCTTTATTTAAATGAAAAAAATATCCATTTATCTTGAATACAAGTCGAGATATTTGCGAATGAAGAAGGTGGGGTTACCTGTTTTCGGAGGTAAGATTTGTGAGAAAATGGCCGCCAAAGATTAGTTAATTTCCTTAGCTTAAGAGTCGGTGGTAACAGAAAATTTACATTTTTTGTGCTTTTAATCAATGTTTTTCAGAAAAATCCTCACAGAAATTAGTTCTTTAATGGACATGAAAGGTGTTGAGCCCAAAAACATAAATTTGATAAAAATTCCCAAACCTGTGGAAAAATGCAAGTTTCTTCGCTTTGATCATTTTGACGAGAGCCTGATTCCACCACGCTGCCTCACAAATGTTGCTGGAATGCATAAAGCAGAAGTTCAGTGTTTCAGAGGGGTGTCCACAGTGTTTCAGAGGGATATCCACAGTGTTGTAGAGGGATATTCACAGTGTTGCAGAGGGATATTCACAGTGTTGCAGAGGGATATTCACAGTGTTGCAGAGGGATATTCACAGTGCAGTGTTCTTTTAGGATAGACAAGTGGTTCTTCTTTCCCCCACATTACATTCTGCGTCTTGTCAGGGCTATGCTATAAGCCAACCAAAATTATCACTATTTCTCAGATTTGCATGAGCAATAGACAAATAAAGCTTTATTAAGTTATGTACTTCATAACACCTAAACTGCTTTGTGAGAACTGCTGATAAATGGGCTTGCATTTATTGCTTTGTCTTTTAAGTGACAATGCACACAATCAGGCAGCTCTTGCTATGCAAACGTTTGAGATTATTCTTTCTTGTCCTGAAGTTACTTGGAGTCATGTTTTCTTTGTTTATTTTACATGTACATATAACTTATTTTTCATGTGCTACACTCTCATAGCTCCTGTACAATGCAATGTCATGTGTGCAGTAATACTATTGTACAGCATGCATCTTTCTGTTGCTGTCTTCTGTCTTTAAACTCCCACTCCGTATGTACCTTCTGAGCCAAAACCATATTAATTTCCCTTCCCTTCTCCCATTGTATTGTAGATCTGTGATACTTTATTTTGAACATTTAAGGCTGTGATATTACAAATCTGTGCATCTGAATCAGATGGTCCAATAATTGAAGATGAACATGACATGGTATACAAGGGAGTGTAATCCCCCATCAGTATTTTCATGTATTTGAGGAAGTTGCGGGTGGTCACTGACATCCTGAGATACAATAATTTGTCAGCTGTGGCAGTTGTCTATAAAACTACTAGTTATACTGTTTTCCAAGTGGAGGGGCAGTTTTCCCTTCATTGTTTTCAGGTGAGAGCAGTTTAGTACGACTTTCATGTCAGAGGGTGAAACATGCTTAAAGTAAAGTGAGAAGTCTTCTGCTACTCTGCCAGGCTACGCATCCATCGAACAGTAAACAGTAAGCGATCATTGTCTCCAGTTTGCTTGAGAGAACAGCAATCACTGTAAATTGCAGAAGATAAAGGAGTGGTAGAAAAAAACTAGTTGGAATGTGTCAAAAAACTAATGGCGATTCAGGTGGGCTCATGTATCAGTCATAGTTTGGGGCTTTTCTGTAAGGATTGGAACAGAAACGATCAATTCCACAAAAACTTCTTTTCCCAATCCCAATCTGATCTCTCGATCCTCGCATGGTCTAGTTCATTCATAGCCTATGATGTGGTTTAGGAAGAAAGGCCTGCCAAGCGTCACACACCATTTCAACTTAGGTGTGTACAGACAGATTTCAAAAGTTAAGGTGTGGAGCTGACTATTTTATGTTTACTGTGCCATGAAAGTTTGTCAGTAGTTATCAGAATTTCCCGTTTGACTTGTGATACCTTTATTTTGATTCAAATTGTAAGAATATACACTTTATTTCAAGCGACTCTCTGCCTGACACTACACATATTTGCTTTTTTTTTCTTAGGGGGGAGGGGGGGGAGAGGAGGCATAGGGTGGGGATGTGCTCATGATATATATATATATATATATATATCATAACATAATTGGCTATTATTAAGCATATTATTAAGATGTACAAATTGTTTGTTGCAGAAAACTCAATATTCCACTGTCAAAAAAAGTTAACTTTCAGGTTTTTTGCTCCCTCAAAAACGGAATTCTACAAATTGTGTATACTGCTGTCTCATACTGTTCATCATGTGATGTATATTAAAACTTTGATGAAAAATGTACGCTCTGCCCTTGTCTTTTTGTGCAGTCATCATACACTGAAACAGAGATCTCATCAGGTTGCTCTAAAGAGTAGTCATTAGTTGTTTTTTTTTCACTCAGTGCATTAAGTGATTTCAATTAGAGACGAACTAGTCAGAGATGGCCCCCCATTGTTGAGAAGAACAATGGCCTTCTGAAGTAGATGCATATATAAACTAAAAATACAGACTTCAACAAAAGTTAAGGACCACCTTGACCCTGACAGACAGCCGTTTTTTATTTCAGAACAAAAAAGACAGCAAGGAATGTTTCAAAATTTTTTGCACTGAAAGTGTTAATAGGTTACCGGTGCGTACTGCAATGCTTCCAAAAGAGGCAAAACCATCACGTGCTGCACGGAAATCCCCTGGGACTTTAAGCCAAATTTGCTCAGGCTGTTTTTTATCGACTTGTGTGCTACACCACAGACATTCCCCAGTTACATTTATGGTGCACATCATAAACGGACGTACGGTTTCGAACTGTGCTCACTTTGGTGGCAATATAATCCGCCGTTAGCGCAAAATCCAGTATCGCATCAACTGCCACTAAGACTAAAGCTGAGAGACTTTGATTGTGCCAGAGTTATGACAAGGCTGCAGGATGGAGTTGGAGCCTGAGAAGTTATCTGAAGGCTTGCAGTGTCACACTCTGTCGTCATTGTCAGCCTGAGGCTGCGCCATCAAGCCACTCGATCAGTCCAAGAACGCCCATGTGCAGGTGGACCCAAGAAGACCACTCAGAGTTTTGCAAGTGGTCCTTAACTTATGTTGAAGTCTGTAGGCTACATCTACACACATTCATTCAGCCCCATACGGCACACCTAAAAAGTATACACTAGAATTCTGTAACCAATACACACGCTTTCATAATTACAGAACCATAGACAGCAAAGACAGCCTCTGAATACCTTGGTGCCAAAGACAGCTACATGTATCTCACCAAATCTGAACAAAATTCTCTTTTTCTTTTTTTTAAATTACTGAAACAGCTAAGCATGTTTTGCCTCAAAGGCTTCTTCAGGAACAACTGAAAATAAGTTAAGTTAAAGGGTTGGGGTCTGGGGGGTTCACAAAGAAAGTTTCTTAGTAAGTCATTAGGAGGGCCGGAAGCGACTCGGCGTGCGCCAGCTAGGTCAAGGGGTAATTATTAAGAAATCAATACCTACGGATCAAATTATCTTGGATCAAATGATCTCTCTTAACTTAAGCGAGTACTCTCGCCATTGCTAGGTCGGGGGCAGTTCCAGGTCAACGGGTGGTTAAAAACTGATTGCTTAAAATGTGAGATAGACGAGGGAAATGGTTGAAGCTACTTTGTAAAGTCATTGATAACAGAATGAGAGAGGAGAGAGAGAGAGAGGCAGAGAAAGAGAGAGAGACAGACAGAGAAAGAGAGAGAGAGAGAGAGAAAGGGGGAAGGGTGAGAGAGCAAGACTTGGGGAGGGGGGGGGGGGGTGGGTGGGTGAGAGAGAAAGAGAGGGAGGGGGGGGGGGATTAAACCCTTGACGACATTTTAAAAATTTGTTTGTTATCATTATAGATATCATAATCATATTCATCTCATCATAATCATGTTCATCTCATCATCATCATCAAATATTTCTTATCAAAGTACTAATAAATAGAAGAAAAAAAGAACCGCCGAAGCAATTGTCACAATGTGGGTACGTACGTTTATTGAACATTGAAACATTTTGACAGACACAGGGGTCTCGGAACTGGAAGCGAAGAAACCCAATAGTGCACGGTGGATCGACACACAGTATGACGCAAACTTTGTTCTCTTTTCCAACACTCACGACTCACCCATACTGAACTTCATCTGCCCACGCACAGTCATGAACTGAAAGACATTTCCCCTCTTAAGTCATCAGTGTTGAAGGTCGAAAAACAAAACTGGAAAACCAACCACTTCTCCTCTGTGCATCAATTGGTGTATTCCCGCATTTTGGCATAATGTAGTCTTGCTGCAAGCTGACACAAATATCACTATATGTGTGTGTGTGTGTGGGTGTGTGTGTGTCATACATACATACAAACACACACACACACACACACACAAACGTGTACATTTACACCAGCAAGATACAAGCCTTAACTTTTTCTTGCAGCTCGCTGAGCGACTGAACAGTAGTGAGCATCTACATCTAGCCTTTCTCGATGCCTTTCAGGAAACGGGTAACCGCTCTGCTACTTAGAACAAGAAAAATGTTAATAAATAATTAATACAAAGTTTTCTTGGCTGCTATTCATAGGACCCACAAGCCTCTAGCCAGCATAAGCTTCTACTGGCCATCAGATACCATAACAGTACTGAGTGTGCAGTTATACCCCTAAACACAATGTCCAAACTCACTTTCGTTGCATAGCGAGAACCCATTCTTTCTTAAAACTTATTTGATTTACATAAAATTTCACAACAAATTCACAAACATTCAGTCACCAATGTAAAATAAAGAGTTTGTGCATGCATTTCCTAGGCACAAGAAAAGAAGTCAGATCTGTGAAATACTTCGTGTAAACCGAGGTACAACATCAAAACTCAATGGAAAGAAATCAAAAGCTGGTAACAAGCATTCGCCCTGGCTACTGGGGCTGTTTTGAAATGTCGCAGCCTCAACATTTATCATCCAAGTTCCCATCGTCTCAGAACTCTCCTATTTTGTCAAATATTTTTAATTACAGAACATTTTCTTAAAGGGCATCATAATGTCTTTTTCTCTAAAAAAACAACAACAAACAATCAAACATGTATTTATTATCAATGATACTTTTGTTTCCTTTTACTTCATTGTGTTTTCCCCACAACTAATTAACGACCAAGATTGAAGCTAGAATAAGCATCATATTGTAGAACAAATTTCAGTACCCACTTTTAAAAAACTGGTCTTAAAAGCGCATCTCATCAAACAGAAAATAGTAGTATTTGACCGAAAAAATGTATGTAAATGGAATGAGGTACTAGAAAATTGAGGGTAGGATAAAAGTGAATTATGTATGGCCTGCTTCGCTGAACAGAAGCTTGCATAATAGAAAAATGTTTCAGTTCTGAATAAGAAAATGCAAGTTACCAGTAATAGGATTTTCATTGGTAAAGACAAAGTATAGACAGGAAGAGAGGAAAATTGTCCAAAATGTACACATATAGTGAATAAAAGTAAGTCATAAGAAACTGTGACCACTTAAATAGGACTAAAGAAACACTCGGTAAAAACAATTTCTTCAATCCTCCAGATCATAAAATAACACTACAGTAATAAGAAGACCGTTTCTAAATGTGAGGCAGCGTGGTGGAATCAGGCTCTCGTCAAAATAATCGAGGTGAAGAAACTGGCATTTTTCCGCAGGTTTGTGAATTTTTATCAAATTTTTGGTTTTTGGCTCAACACCTTTCATGCCCTTTAAAGAACTCATTTCTGTGTGGATTTTTCTGAAAAGCATTGATTAAAGGCACAAAAAATGTAAATTTTCAGTTACCACGGACTCTTAAGCTCAGGAAATAACTAATCTTTGGCGGCCATTTTCTCACTTATTTTACCTCTGAAAACAGGTGACCCCCACCTCCTTCTTTCGCAAATATCTCAACTTGTAGTCAAGATAAATGGATGTTTTTTTCATCCAAATAAAGACCAGTGAATAATCTTTAAGATGATACCAATAACTCTATATGCTCAAAAACTGACGAGAGCCTGATTCCACCACGCCTCACAAATTGTACATTTTTAAAATGATTAGCCATCATAAATAAAGTATTTTCACATAATGTACAATCAGACTCACACACAGACACACACACACTCCCACTCAAACACCCACATACATAAATATAATATAACTGACCAGGTAACTGAAGATGCATTGACACACACACAGACAAATTAGACATATTTCTACAAAAGATAAAGCACTATGTTGCATATCTGGCGGGTTTTTATGATTCATGGACATGAAAATATTCATGACAGAGGTATATATAAAGAAGTAAAATGCTCAGATGCATCTGAAAGACAACTGCAGTCCTTTTACCTTACATACACAGGAAGCATCGGAATCTATATATAGATCTGTACACACAACATCTCTTCTCTTGGCTATTTTCAATGTGCCTCATTATGACAACTCAACACTGAGCAGATACTTTTATTTCATCACATTCGTTTCCTTCCCTCTAGTATCTGAAATCTCAAAGCCAGCATCACAGAGGGATTGCAAGCAGGCTCCAATAGTGTCCTTCCTCCTGAATTTCCCTAACACAGAACCTTCATAAAACCCAGGTCACAGACTGAGCTAATAACTCCACAGCTTGTCTAAATTTTTCAGTCTTGTAATAAATACAAGCAAAACATCTGTGCAATTCATTTGTCCCTTCACGAAATAAGACTATTTTTAGTAATGAAAAGTGAATCAGGATCTATTATTTCCCTCAAGACTAGAATCTACAAAGCCGTTCATAAAACAACTACAATTTGCTAAACCCTTTCTTCCACCCTGCAGTTTGAACAGCACATCAAAACCTATGCAGTAATTTTGTCAAGCCGTAACAGGTCGAATTTTCAGCCGCACCAGAATCTCAAACGTCAAACAAAGATCCTAGTATGAATAGAAAAGATACATTTGACACAATGCTTGTCTGAGCAACCACACTCCCCAAACACTGTTCAAGAGCATGGAACAGTTTGACACTAAGAATAAATAACCACATAATGCAATGAAAATAATAATAATAATAATAATTGCATTTATATAGCGCATATCCATGCTCAAGAGCATGCTCTATGCGCTTTACAACTATTATTACCCCAGCAGACCCTCTGAGAACACTCTGAAACATACTCGGCTTCCGCGGAAGCATACAGTGCAAGCTGCGGATTTCATGCGCTCAAACACTATCAAACTGACAAGATCGTTGACTGTCTATAGCCAGGTACCCATTTCCACCTGGGTGAAGTGAGGAAAATTTGTGCAAAGTGCCTTTCCCAAGGACACAACGTCGGGCCCCTGACGGGATTCGAACCCACGACCTAATAGTTGCGAGTCTGAGAGCTTAACCACTAAGCCACCGATGCCACAATAGAAAGTATTGAAGCAATGAAGGTCATAAATACTCCTAGATGCGTATTTACTTGGGAAAACATTGGGTATTTCGTAGACATTGATACAATAGAAGGGAAACCTCATTTCCCTATTTCTGATTACTGAAGTTTACCATACATAGCTATTTATGTGCACTGTATATTGCCATGATTTATTGGTAATAAATATCTGGGGTTCATTAATTAATATCATTCACAGAAATAGTCAGACCATGAGAACCCTTTACAAACTCCCCTTTTCATTACAGACAAATTATTATCATTTGTCCTCAAACATTTCATCTATTGTCACAATGGAAAGAATATTAATGAGGTTGACAACCATCACCTGAAAATCGGTGATGCAAAAATTGTATTTTCAAGAAGTTAAAAATCTTTACATCTATTTTTATTCCAATTTGTCAATGTTGGCAGAGGTAAATGATCTGATCAGTTGCATGTATTGAGAAAAAAGAAAAATCTGAGAAATTCGTCATCTAATCAATACTAAGTATACTATTTATATGTAGGCCTATATAGCTTACAAGACTTGATTTTTGTCACTCCTAGTGATCAGAAATATCTCTTGAGAAAGTGAAAAGACTTCAAACTGGAGGGCAAAGGAGAGAGAGAGAGAGAGAGAGAGACAGAGAGAGACAGACAGACAGACAGACAGACAAGACAGAAAGAGAGAGAGAGAGAGAGAGAGAGAGAGAGAGAGAGAGAGTGAGAGAGAGAGAGACAGACGGAGAGAGAGAGAGAGAAAGAGAAAGAGAGAGAGTGAGAGAAAGAGAGACAGACAGAGAGAGAGAGAGAGAAAGAGAGAAAGAGAAAGACAGAGACAGAGAGCGAGACAGAGAGAGAGAGAGTGAGAGAAAGAGAGACAGACAGAGAGAGAAAGAGAGAAAGAGAAAGAGAGAGACAGAGAGCGAGAGGGGGAGAGAGAGAGAGAGAGAGAGAGAGAAGAGAGAGAGAGAGACAGAGAGAGAGAGAGAGAGAGAGAGAGACAGACAGAGAGCGAGAGAGAGAGAGAAAGAGAGACAGAGAGCGAGAGAGAGTGAGAAAGAGAGAGAGACAGAGAGCGAGAGGGGGAGAAAGAGAAGGAGTATCATCCTTATTCATGTATTCTGTCATCGATAATTAAGTGGGAAGGTACATGTTACTTTACGTTGTTTAAAGCATTCAGGACTCCCATAGAGTAAAATGCACTAAACCTTATAAATGTGACCCATTATTATATATGAGACTCCAGAGAAGAAAATATTCTTAATAATGATGCTAATCAGAACATCAGAAAAAAAATACGTTTTGCATAGTTAACTCATATTTCACGTCTCACTTATCTTATTCATACACAGATACAACAGAAATAAGACATATTATCTTAAACACTTTTCTCATGACAGAAACTCAATACAACTCTTTGGCTTTCTGCTATGCTCCACTTAATATCTTGATCAGACGCTTCACGATATAGACTGCAAGATGTCATGAACTTTGGAGTTTGAGATCAGTATCCCTCACAATATTCCTCTTCTAGCTCTGACTCTCTTGTTCATACGTCAGCCTCGAGACCTCATACAAAAGGCTGTTTCTTAAGAAGGCACAACGCTCACAGAGCATCATTTTATCACCACCACTTATCACATATCTGGTGAAAGTCAAAGCAAATATGAGGAAAATAAAAATGTGCGTGATCAAGATGTATCTTTCAGCAACAATATTTAGATTACAACTGGCAGTAATTAAATTACCTCGTTTCTAGTTGTCGTTTTTCTAAAATTTGGACAGTTATCAAATTCAAAATAAAATTCCATTACAAATTTTTCAAGCAGTTTTAAATGCAGAATTCAGATGATTTTCGCTCACACTAAGAGCCCATAAAAGTGAAATTTTTTTTTAAGTTCACAAAGTACAAGTTCACTCAAGAAATGTCCAAAACAACGGCATCTTAGACATTTCTTTACAACTAGCCCAATAAATTACACCGAGAGAGAATGTTTGAAAACAAATTGTCCATTAAACTGCAAGGGCTATGTATTCTCAAGGAAACCTTGCTGCAAAATAAAAACAAACTAATTTAGCACATATAAATAAATTAAATTCCTCAAAAAAGGTGAGACCTCTAAAGATCATGAATAAGAGTATAGAAATGAATTTTGATTGGCAGCCAAATGCATTGTCAGTGTAGCAAAGTTCCTGGATCATCAATATTGTCCCCTGCTTTTAGGAAAACCCATCTGAGCTGGGCAAAACTAATCTGACACTGGAAATCCCATGGAGCCTTCTAGAATGTTTTTGTTGTTAATTCAGCATCCCCTAGAAGGTGAATGTCTAATGAATGTTTATCTTTGTATGCCTAGTTGAAACATAGGCACTCCCTGTGATACAATCAACTTAACATAAAAATTCAGCATTATCAAAAACGTTTCCAAAAAATGTACATAAAAATTAAGGCAGTCTTCATATTTTACACTGAAATACTGCTAAGACATTAGGTTAGGAAAATATACAAGCTATATCTAACTGTTCTGAACTGGGTGCTAACACCCTATACAAACTGTTGTCAAAATGAAACTCATTCATAAATTCAGAAATGCCTGCAGAGATCATATATAATCATGAATTTGAAATGCTCTGGCTGTAACTGACACTGACAGTAGTGACAGTAACTCTTATCCCCAATGTTCCCAAAGGAGAAACTATCAATCTTAAACTAACTTTACCTGAACTAAAAATCCCTCAACACCCACTCAATTCACAGGTCACACAAATGAGCAAATATCATTGTATGCTCCACATCAGATTTGAGCAATTTAACAAAACTGACACATGGCAATGACTCAAAATTACTTTTGTTTTAAGACGATGCTTGCGACAAACTAAAGATGGATACACTCCACAGTTATAGCCGAGTGTCCCTAACTTCACAGTCTGACTCCACATCAGCATCTGTACCCTCATCAGTATCACCAAAGTTCCGCTCTTTTTTCTGCCGTAATGATTCTAAAATCATTTCTCTATCTTGCTCTTGGGCATGGTATGGATCTTCATCAGGCTGGCTATTGGAAGCAGATGCCAGCCACTGAGACACTCTGTCTGTCATGCCATGATGGTAGTCTGTCTCAATGCCAATCAGCTGAGACTCAATAGCGCCAGCAGTGATAGAATCAGGTTTCTCCATCTGCTGAAAGTGGATGGGAGAGTTGGGCTGGAGGGCTCTTCTCGAGGTGCCTCCATTGACGGAATGTAGCTGTGGCTGTAGTGGGCAGTGGTACGCAGGGGGTGCAAGGTCATGCGGGGAAACCAGGAAGCAGCTTGCTTTGTCGCCAGCTTCGCCCGCAGCAACGGAATGTGATGGGAGGGCTTCTGCCCCTTGAGCTGGCTCGTTGTCCTTGAAGCTCCAGGGGAGAGGAAGCATAGGCTCGTGTTTGTCATCTGGAGAAGGAGAGGACGCAGGGAAGATATCAAACACAGGACGTGGATTCTCTTCTGCACGGACTGCCGTAATAGTGTTCTGTGGAGAATGATATGGCGACCCTGTTTCTGTGAGGTTGTTATAAGCAAGATTATCTGCCCATGACGGCGCTTCCGACATGAGTGGATTCTCATCATCTGGAAGACTCAGGGAGACTGAAGAAGGCACAGGTGGCAATGATGTCTGGCGACGCCAAGGTAGAGAGCTTTCAGCGACAGTCTCTTCTTTCGGAGACGTTTCACCTTTGTCAGAGTCAGACTTTTTGTCTTCGTCACCCTTAGCATCTGGACTAGAGCTACTTTGTTCTGCTTCTTTCCGAGGGCGGCTATGTTTGCTGGTTGCTGGGATAGGAATGCTGGCGCTGATCTTGGTGTGCGACAAAGGAATGTCAGGGGGGCGGGAGTACAGGGTGTCACTCGTGGGGGCTGGCTGCGCTGTTGACGGGCCAGACGATGTCTCAACTGTTGTGTTTGTGTCTGCACTTGGTTCTACACTCTGGGTCTGTTCACTAGCACTAGGGGGAACGGGTTCTGATGAGTCTCCACCAGATGCGGGGGCTGGGTCAGAGGGAGGCGATTTCGATATCGGACTTTGCGAGTCAGGGTCAGACTGTACACCTGTGAATTCAAAGAGAAAAAATTGTTAGTGTTTTAAAATACACGAGAAAAAAAAAACAGTTCTGAGGGACAGTGTGCAGCAGGGGTCCCAAACTCAAATTCTCTGGGGACCACTGGAGGTGGAGTTGGGGTGAGCCTGGGCCACATTAAGCAGGACAGTAAAAATGGTTCGAAGTATCAAAGGCAAAAAAGTGGAACTGACCTAATCATTTCAATCTTTTTAATAGCATTTTAAAAAATAATCAATTCTTCAGAACACAGTGGCAAGAAGGTGCGTGTGAAAAAAATGTGCGGGTCACACTACATGCAAAAAAACACCTTGCTGTCAAGTAGGTGGCACAAAATATAGTCCTGTGGGCGTAAATTGGCCCACGGGCTGAAAGTTTAAGACCCCTGGTATACAGCATTTGAAAAGCAATACATGTAGCGAAGATCCAAGATGTGGTGGAAAGAGAAAAAAATCCAAATGACTACACAAATGCAGCAAGTCTTAAATTCGTATGGATGAGGCTGTTTGAAAATAAAGTCAGAGTAGCCGCAAAATAAGATACACAGAAGTCAGAAGTGGGACTTACCATCAGACATAGGGGGAGGTTTTCCTACGGTGAAGACTACCCTTGGAGCTGATGAAGAATCCTCTATATAGCAACTGTTTTCTTGAACTGAAAATTTTAAAAAGGCAAATTAAGTCTCACAGGAGATGGACGGGGACAAAGTCGTGAGCCATTTGCTCACGCCAAAGTACAAGTTTCAGCTGCCAGGAAGCATTTTTCTAATAATAATAAAAATAATATATAACATTTATATAGCGCATTTCCAAAAAAGTAGCTCAATGCGCTTTACATTGGAATACCCATTTTTCAAAAACCTTTGTTACTACTTCCTTTCTTCTCAAGCAATATACATTAATGCGCACACACACACACACACACACACACACACACACAAACACACACACACACACACACACACACACATACACACACACACACACACACACACACACAGACTATTTTCATCAAGACATAGGAACAGAACAAATATAATGAAAGATAACGTTAAAAGCTTATGAAGGATAGACCTGTAGGAACAGAAAATGTTTAAGATGTCTTTTGAAGCTATCAAGTGTTCTTATTTGTCTTAGTTTCATGGGTAATCTGTTCCACATAAATGGACCAAGATATGAGAAAGATCTCTCTCCATATGATTTGTATGATTTTACAGGTGACACAAGTAGGGTGTTATGGTTTGATGATCTTAGGTTTCTCCCTGGTTTATATATACTGATAAGTTCTTGTAGATAAAAAGGAGCAGTTTTAGGTTTTTCATATAAGGGAAAACAAGTACTAATCCTAGGGCAGTCTAACCTATAAGTTTTGCAGGTTTAAGAGATCTTGGTAGAAAAAGCTAAAGAACATCAGGCTGGTTAAAAACAGGGGCTCCACATGCTAGACAAAAAAAGCTGTTATATTCATCAAAATATGTTGTACATTGGACTGAAGTATGTACATTCCACTAACCCCGAGATCTGGCAGGGAATGATAGAAAGAGGAAGGATCTACAACACAGAGTTCTGTAAAGAATTTTGCTCTGTACAGAGAGGAATTTTGTTTTGTATTAGAAAGAGTTTTACCGCATTTGCAGCACAATTATGTCATATAAGTGCCGAAGATTAGAGGTGTTATAAAAGAGAGTAACAAACACAAAAAGAAGGAGGGGAGATAAGGCGACCAATTGTTTGATTGGAAAAAAGGAGTAAACCATACAAAAGCATCCGCCAGTCATTGAAGTACAGAGAAGAATGAGTATGAGAAGCTTACAACTGATCAAGCCATGTATTGCCATGGCCGCTATATCGCTGTACTTAACAGCCAGAGACTGAAGTGATGACCAAAGGGTTCACTTTTTTCGAAATTTTAAGACAACACCGAAGACGTAACAGAGAGCTTTTCTAGTTTCTAGAATAGATTTTTTCAACAAAATGTGAGCCATGTACCAAATGCATTGCTAAAAATTATGGCAAATAGTTAGAAAAAAGCTACATTCATAACCCAAAAACCTGAAAAAACCCAAATATTCACCCAGTAAAAAGGGTAGATGTGGCCACTACAAGAAACACCCGGCCCGAAAGGGCTCAATCCAGAATACTGGGAAGAACAAAATTGGAAAGAACAATGGTACCATCTTCTCTAAACCCCAGTTTTCAAGCCTCCTCCCATCATTTCTCCCTATCTTCCCTTCTGTGCAAAGAACCAAAGAACGAATACAGTAATTCTCTTACCACCACCAGGAAGAATCTCGGCCACATCAGAGAGCTGTTTGCTGAGACGAGTGTGAGCCCCACTGAAACTGACATTCTTTTTCACCACATGGCCATTCAGCACGGGGGCCCTGGAAGCGCCCATATGAGGGTGAAGGTTCCCATTAGCCACACCTTCCACAGAGTTGCCGTGGAGGTCCCGAATAAAATGCCGGAGCTGTTCTCTTTCGTCATGATGAAACGGTGGGTGATTGTGGACCTCGGCGAGAGTGTGACGTCGTTCACGAACCCACTGAAACAACAGAGCACATTATAACATGAATACCAGGAGGTGACATCTCTTTCTGTTTTAGTAGAGGTTTTACGGCGCTCGCAACTGCATAAGGTTATATGAGTGCCAGAAGATTAGAGGGGTTACTAGAGAGTAACAAACATAAAAAAAGAAGAAGGGGAGATAAGGATGATAGATGTTTCATAGGAAAGAAGAAGCAAACCACACACGAGCACCCGTCAACCATCCAGGGTGACATCTCTGATTCATCTCTGGCTCAGAGGTTGATGTGTAATGTAAAGGCATGCTATTGCTAACGGTACCAAGTTGCCATCATGCACTGTCATGTTATAAAAGAGACCAAACAATGCTATTTATCTTACCTAAAAGTACTGGGCTTTCTTTGTTTCTGATTGCAAGCTCTATAAGACACATAATACTTAGTAAAGTATGAAACTAACAAACAAATTTCAGGATCTCAGTAGAAAGTAAACAGTAGAAAAGCCACATTTTGCCAGGTACAGAATGGGATGTGGAGGAAACATGATAGAAGTAGGAACAGCAGACCACTCTAGACCATTTATGAATACTCAAATAGAGAAATACATACACCCCACATGGTGGTGTAGAGGTAAACTGCTTCGCTGTCCCACAAAAGACCCCATCAGATTCTTGTTAGTGCAAAATTTTTAGTAGGTATCTAGGTCTCTCTCCTTCGATGTCACACCCCTTTCAGCCCGAATTGGCCCTGATAAGCAGGGTTTCAACCTGCCTCCTAAATCAACTAAATTGTGTTGATGGCTGCATAAAACAGCTACTTCAACAACTCCCCCCCCCCCCCTCCCCCTTTAAAAAAATAAAATAAATAAAAACTTTAAAATATACAGCATACAGCCTGTGTTTTGTTTTAGTAGAGGTTTTACAACGCTCGCAACTGCATAAGGTCATATGAGCGCCAGAAGATTAGAGGTGTTACAAGAGAGTAACAAACATAAAAAAGAAGATGGAGAGATAAGGATGATAGATGTTTGATAGGAAAGAAGGAGCAAACCACACCAGAGCACCCGCCAACCACCCACAAGAGCTGCCTGTAACTTAAGGAAAGAGCGGTGAGAAAGTTGTAATGTTAGTTCCTTCTCTTACTGTGCTCCGTGGGGGATACATTGACTCCTCCAGCACCTGCTGGATGGCCTCGTCTTCTGGCGACTGCTTCACGGAGGTTGGGTCAACCATGTGCATGTTCACCACTGTTTCATGGTCTCTGTCATTAGGGACAGCGATCGTGGCACGTCGGCTGAAAGTAAAACAAGAACTCTTGAAGAAAATTCCGAGTTATTAAGAAAGGAACAAAAGTAACCAAACAAATGAAGTTAGTGTGTTAAAAACTAAAGGCACTGTGAAAAAACACTTCTTGTGGCCTCACGTATATTTCTTTTCCCATTTCTGTCATGAGAGCCACTACTAAAGCCTTCCTGATAGACAAACAGCTTTGTAGCTTAGCGGATAAAGCATCCTTTCTACCTCTGACAAGAGTCCTAATGAATCCATTATTTTCTGTCAACATACCTTCTTCTTTTTATAGGTTTTCTCAAGATATTTTGGATTTAGTTGATAGATGGCTCTTCCACCCACAACGAATTGTTATGTCATGTGTCACACATATTTTTCTGTTAGAACTGAGTGTTCCTAGCTTTAACACTTTGCCGCCTCATCTCGTCGATCGACGATGTTTAACACCCACTTTCTTTGGATTTTCCCCAAAACGCCTTCGCCTTTTGTTTGTAAGTGTGTACGCCGTTTGGTTCAATATGTACACAAAGAAGAACAGACTCGACTTGCACGTTTTGCGGCTGAGTAGGGAATGGCCCTCTGGCTCACCAGTCCTTTAATCTCGTGCTGAACTCAGTGGTTACAAAAACATTCATCGGAAATGGTACGAAACACGAACAATGTACACATATCAACATCCTCCCTTCTTTAGCAAGATGCATTATGTGCATTCCGTAACGTAACGTTTCAACATCTTATAGGTCAATTAATTCAAAACCCGTTATAGAAATATTCTTTATTAGCAAGTTAAATCATACATAATTCTACTACTAATATCATTTGAGCGTTACAGACACAACATAGAAAGCATATATAGCTCATGGATCCCATGACAAGAGTTTTTACTAGATGAGCCTTGTGGCGACACAGTGTTAAAGGAAAGCCATTATCTTTGTTCAAGGTCGTGTCATCTATTGCCAACAAATAAAACTGAGTAGAGAAGGAGCAGCCCCTACCTGTAGAGAGAGGCACGAGAGAGACTGGGCGTCATCAGCTGTGAGAAGGACGGGTCTCTCGACATGGTGGACGGGAAAGTCTTTGCAGCTGCCTTCGCATCCTGCAGGTTGAGCTTGGTGAACACGCGGAGGATGGAGGTGTCTCGGGTCTTGGGCTTCTCCCGCAGCAGCCAGGGCTTTAGGTACTTGTTGTTGTAGTACTCAAACCTGTGAGATGAGTGTCGATAAGCGCCGTAAAACCCCGTACTACTACTAGTGTTGATACACCATACACTTAAAAACACAACTATACAGGAACAAGAGTTCTTTGTTTTTGAGCCAAAGAGTTCGTTTAGTTTTAGTAGAGGTTTTACGGCACTCACAAATGCATAAGGTCATATGAGCGCTAGAAGATTAGAGGTGTTACAAGAGAGGACAAACATAAAAAAGAAGAAGGGGAGATAAGGATGATAGATGTTTGATAGGAAAGAAGAAGCAAACCACACCAGAGCACCCGCCAACCACCCACTGCCGAAGTGTAATGTATAGACAAGTTCGCAGTTGTTTAGAGTGAGATAAACAGCAACCCAGACAGGCAGAAGCAATGCAAGGACAGTAGTGAAAAATATAGGACTTATCTGTGACATCCTCCAACCTCCCACCAAAAGCCTTTACACTGAGGAGATTTCCCATTCATGTAATCTCATTACCGTTCAAAAAGACAACAACAAGAAAAAAAGTTTCAGCACCGTAAGGACTGTTTCTGTTTTAGAGAAAGGAACACTTAGATCTAAGCCATTTTCATTTTAGAATTATAGATCATGGTGAGTGGGACCAGCAGTTACCACACTTCCCCAAAAAACAAATTTCAACAACAGTGTCACTGAAAATCAGTAGAGAAGACAGACCGCAGCAGAACACCCACAGATCACCGATGATGGAAAAAGCTATTTCATGGGGGGAAAAAAGTAAGTGGAGTGATGAACAAAAGTAACTGAAAAGTTCAGTTATGGGTTACAATCATTTAAGGAAAATATTTGCCAAAATAAGGACGGTATTCACAGCAACAAAAACATGTTATCTGTTTGTGGCGTCGGTGGCCTAGTGGTTAGGCTCGGACTCGCAACCGTAAGGTCGTGGGTTCGAATCCCGTCCGGGCCCCGACGTTGTGTCCTTGGGAAAGGCACTTTACACGAATTTTCCTCACTTCACCCAGGTGGGAATGGGTACCCGGCTATAGACAGCGAAAGATCTTGTCAGTTTGTTAGGGTTTGAGCGCTTAATCAGCTGCTTGCACTGTATGCTTCACGGGAAGCTGAGAATGTTTCGGAGTGTTCTATAGTCTGCTGGGGTAATAATATAGTGTAAAGCGCATAGAGCTTGCTGTTGAGCGGGGATATGCGCTATACAAATGCTATCTATTATTATTATTATTATTATTATTATCTGAGACCCCTGACCGTTTCCTTCATTTTGCAGGTTTCTTTTTCTTGAAAAAAAACAAACAGTTCAAACCCTAGAAAATGTAGTGTAAATTTCACGAACATATTAGAAGCTGTCAATGCTGGGGATTCCATCTCTGTAAAAAAAAAATGATATAACTTAATCAAAATGACAATGAGCTCTAGACAAAGTCAACTCCTAGACAAAGTCAACTCACTTGTGCTGAATGGAATTGTGGCCAGATTTTCCCACAATGTCTTCAACCCCTGCCATGAGGTGATCTATGAACTGTGAAGAGAAAAAAAAAACAACAAAAAATAAAGATTAAAAGACTATTCATCAATTCTTGATTACAAATGGTAGTTGAAATAAGAATTTTTGAATTAGAAAAGCACATTCAAAATATTCAAAATAAATGATCAAGTGCATAAAGATGATAGCTGTGAATATTTGATTCAATTACCTTTGATATATTCTACTTGACTTACAAAAAACATCACACAAGCGAATTGATGAAAAGGAGGGAAGGAGCAGGCAGTTTAAAGAACTCACCCGTTTGTGAATCATTTCGTTCATTGAAGGGTCTTTCTCCTCCGCCTTCTCTACCTTCAATGCGTTCACCACAGGCTTGATCGTAATACCCTGAGTAAAAAAGAGATACCAGCATTAAAACCATAACCAAATCAGAAGATGAAGATGACATCCAGGCTAAAAAGGGGTACAATTCATCTCACACCATTGATTTCAGTCGAAAAAGAAAAAGGGTGTACTCCAAATCAAGTAATGTTGTAACCGCAAAAGAGGACCCCAAAAATAATACGAACAAGCCAAGTTAACTCTAGTCTATGAGGATCTAAAAAGATAGAAAAGGATGCTCAGGACAGGCTTCGCTTGAGTAATGCTGTTGATGGCCTGTGCTCCACTGTGAGTTAAAAAGGGCAAGAGAGAGAGAGAGATGAGGATCTCAGTCTTTTAAATTTCAATACTGACTTGAGGGCGATTAACCCTTTTCAACATTCACGGGTCAAAAAGACCACACCATATTTAAGCTCTTTCTTGGGGAAAAAAAAAAAGAGAACTCACATCTGAAGAATGTTGTATATTTTTCAATCATATAATGCCAAGCAATGTCAAGAGACAATAGTTCTTAGACTGGTGGTCACTGAAGCATGACACACTTACCCTTGATCAAAACATGAGTGTTTCAAAGTGTCAAACAACAGTTGATTTGTTTGTAGGAAATCTCATTTCTATTTGTATTTGAATGAATAATATTACTAGTAACATTTTTATGTCATTGTATCTACCAATGTAAAAGAAGCTTTCTGAAAAATAATGAATGAAAAGATTCTTTCTTTTCTTGCCATTACAAAAGGTAAGCTCCAGTAGCTGAGTGAGTAGTGAGTTTTGACTCAAGCAATGTCAAGCAAGTGTCGGTGACACGGGGATCAGATGGGTGGTCACTGGAGTGTGTCCTTGAGCAAGACATGACAACCCTAGCTCAAATTACAGGGCGCTGCACAGTGGCGACCGACAGTGGCATTCTTTGTAAACTGTTCTGTATTTTGTGTAGTAGTGTGAACTTGTGTATGTATTAATGCATGTATGTATCTATGTATGTACATATTTATAATTATGTATTTATGTTTGTATGTTTGCCATTGTTTGCCCTTCTGGGACAAATAAAAGTGTAATTTATTATTTATTATTATTTTAATCACACACGACACAATTTATTCTAGTTTCTGAGATACGCAAAGTATGGGCACATTTATTAGCCCAACAGAATCAGCCACCACTGTCACCCACAACGAAACTTCTAAATCAGGACAAGATAAAAGAAGGATTCCTCACTGACCTGGAGTTTTTTACAGCAGACGTTTTACGGAGCTAGCAACTGCATAAGGTCATATGAGCGTCAGAAGATTAGAAGTGTTACAAGAGAGTAACAAACATAAACAAGAAGAAGGGGAGATCAGGACGATAGATGTTTCATAGGAAAGAAGAAGCAAACCCCACCGGAGCACCTGCCAACCACCCACTCACTGACCTGTATAAAGACTGTGAAGAAGACCATGACCACGGTGGTGGACACAAACATGGCCTTCTCTGGGATGTGCTCCTGTTGAAGTAGCAGAGCCAGGCAGAAGGCAATACCACCACGCAGACCGCCGTAAGACATAATGAACTGGTCAATAGCCGTCAGTCGGATCAAACGACGACGGTTGACCATGAAAGACAGAAATATAACACCTGGGGAGTACAAGAAAACGGGTAGTTAATTTGAGGGTAAAGTAAACTGAACATCAATATCACAACAACAGGTGCCTAGGTTTTTACTTTACAATAACGACAGCAGCTGAAAAAGATTCCGTAAGGTAATGAACTCACAAATACCAATTTGAGATATACAAAGGATTATATTAGATACTATTAAGAATGAAATATGCATTCTACATGTTAAAATCCAAGTTGTTTTCATTACAGAATTCCTTTCTTTTCCAGGAGAATTCAAAACTATAGAAGCAATTGCTGGTAGATTAACCAGGATATAGTCATCTATAAGCAATAATTTCCTTCACAACCAAGAGGAGACAGACTCCCACACAACTCAGCACAATAAAAGAAAAGTGTGTGCGGGGCACAGCGAAAAAAAAGTTTGCTCCGAGGAGTGGTCAGGCGTGTCTCAAACCAGCTCCTCATGGAGACAATTAGTAGGAAGACCCTGAGGTGGACGCTGGAAAGGAGAGATGAGCAGCTATGGACATGTGCCGCCTGCTATGATTCTAGCTCTGGATCCAAGTAAATCCAAGCAATCATTTGAATATTGAGACCTGAATTTTAACAAGCACACAGAGGATGAAAAAGCGCAAAAAATATTATGCTATATATATAACAGAACATGATAAACATTACATTGTTTTGTTGATGAACTGCTGGCTTCATCAGATAACATAATCTAAACAAAAAAAAGGAGAAATAAAAAAACCCTTCTTCTCCTGAGGGCAGTAAGTAAAGTCACACCAGCCTCAGTGGGAGAGCTACTGATGGGTCAGTAATGACCTTCCTAAAAACAATCAAAGGAACTCATGAAAGCAACTCCAAAACCCTTCACAGCACATGTAACAAAGCGATCAAAGGAACTCATGAAAGCAACTCCAAAACCCTTCACAGCACACTTAACAAAGCGATCAAAGGAACTCATGAAAGCAACTCCAAAACCCTTTACAGCACACTTAACAAAAGTCAAAGGAACTCATGAAAGCAACTCCAAAACCCTTTACAGCACACTTAACAAAAGTCAAAGGAACTCATGAAAGCAACTCCAAAACCCTTTACAGCACACTTAACAAAATGGAAAAGACAGGAAAAGTAAATGATACCACTTAAATATTTGCCTCAGACATTTATTAGTATGGCTCTTTTTGTCTATGCAGACGGTCAAGTTAGCTTAAAATGGTCTCAAGGTTTTCTTCATGCAGCTTCTTTCATGGCTAATTCTTCCTATGTTTGAAGCGCAGATTCTGTCTCAGTGCTTGCATGTCAGTGTCGTAGATCAAAGCTCTGTATTTCCGCTGTTTTCCTTTCGTCGTTGGCGCTTCTCATTAATTAACATTTATTAACTGGTAGTAAAAAGTCAGTATTCACGGAGAAACAAATCCTACCAGTGACCCTGAAGATGAGGCAGAACAGCACGGTGAAGAGGATGAAGTCCAGATGCCACTCATGATTCTCGATGACCACAGACAGGCCGAGGAACATAAAGATGACGGTCTCAGAGATATTGGCCAACATCTTCATAAAGTATTTGACGGTAGTTGTTGACTTCTTTGCCATATTTGCTTCAGTGTAATGACGCATCACGATACCCCCGAATGTCAACCTGAGGCAGGGGGGATGCAAAAATAGATTAAGACAAAGATAATAGCAGGACTCATTGAGTGAGGTAACTAATCCTCAAAGTGGTCTTACACTATTGGATATAATGAACATTCTTATAATTGATAAAGTCTTCACAATACTGAGACACTATTACGAAATAAATTAATGAAATGAATAGCAAGATTCATTGTTTAAAGTAACTTATCTTCAAGGTTGTGCAACAATACTTGATGTAACGAACATTCTTATAATTGATAACATCTCATGAAACTGAGACACTGTTAGGAAAAAAATTAATCAAACAATGTACTCACAATGAATTTCTTCAAGGCGAAAATGTAAACACAAGGAAGCATTTTGGTAAAAATGTTAGCTTCAGTGCTTATCATCGAAATAAATTGAAAATCAGCAGATTTTTTTCAAAGCAACTCTTCATTCCCCATTCCTCTTTCGTACTAGTTTCACTGTCAATTAATCACTATTATATTTGACTGAATGATAAGTAACACCCTACAAAAAATAAAAACAAGCTGTACATACGCCAAGATGCCAGAGAGCTCCAAGCTTTCAGCCGTCAGGTAAGCCAGATATCCAAGGACAAATATGAAGAGTGGTTCTAGAACTCTCACGTGGTCTGTGTACTTGGTGATGAAGGCTCCTACTAGGCCATATACAACACCGATCAGAGTCCCACCTAGGACCACCACAAAGAACTGAGCAAAACCCATGAGGAAGTCGACAGCTTGCAGGTTGCTTTCCCCAATCTCCGTGAAGCCTTCCATCATATGGTAGATCACCTGGCAGTGGGGGAAAAGGCAGAGACATGAGACAAATTAAATCAATAACACTAATCAATAAGAGAAAAGAGGAATGGCATAAATACCAGAACCACCCCCACCCCCCAAATCTTACCCAAACTCCCCCCTCCCAC